GCCCGACAGCTTTTACCTGTTAGTTCCTTACCTATGAGACCATTGTAATATTTTAATTAAAAATATGTTTCAGTTGGACTGTAAAACAATTCACATCTGTAGGCCTATGCCCTCTACTGGATAATGTTGGGCTAATACTACAGTTATATAGAGATGTGTTATAGATAGACATATTACACTTTGCTATAGATTAATGCTATTATTAGAATTATTTATTATTAAAGCCAGTTATTTATTATTAAAACCCACCTATTTTATTTAACTAAAAATATCGCAGACAACTTATTTTTATCCCCGCCCACGCTCATATATTCTTCTCAACTTGGAATTAGCTATCACTGCTCTGATGAAATGTGATGAAGCTCTTCACCGGTCAGGCTGGGAACAGTGTCCGAGTTGAATGACAGGGCGTGACCCGGGTGACCCGAGAACTTTTATTGGTCTCATTCAAATTCCTCTCCGGCCGGACAGTACCTGATGTGGGCCTAGTTTTAAGGTCGCGTGATTATGTCTGTGGATTCTGTGATTGGGCTCGAGAATTTGTGGCCCAGACATCCCCGTGTTTGATGCTTATCTTGGGCTGGGAGACTCCTAAATCAATATCACGTGATGTGTGCCGGCCACCGTGGACCTTGGTTGACTTTCTCACCCCTGCCCCGAGGGTTGCTTTGTATCAGCATGATCGTGGATGATACTTTATTTATATCATCTTCATAGATAGTTAGTTACTGCTTTAAACATAAACACACGTATTATAATGTTTGTATTAAAATCGAATTGTAAGATAATTTCTGCTATAAACATAAAAATACATATAATTATGTAGGTGTACATATACAAAGGAAAGTAAAGGCGGCTGGGCATAGTGCTGACCACACTATCTCTTCATATGCCGAGGTCACAGAAACAAGTGAACTCTACTTCACTTGCCCTATAGACCATCAGGTTTGAAAAGGGAACTTTACTTTTACTTACGTATACAAATCGAATTAAAAAGATAGATCTAGACATACAATACTTCCTGCTTTGTTTTAAAGTGCTCTTCTGTAAAGAAAATGGACTTGAGCTTGTATAAATGGCAGAGCCACTGTCCAGAAAACAACATTTGTCAGCCTGATAAACTGTTGAATGCAGACTTCCAGGCACAAATTGCTTCTGTAATGACCATCTCTTGTGTGGGGTTTTTTTTTTTCCTCTTGTCCAGAGCAATTGTTTAGCATGGGCTTCTTAATGGTGGTGACTAGAATATGAAGTTGGGCCCTGTTCTGTGTGGGGTATAGTTTTGTTTGGGGGAAATGGGAGATGCACTCTAATCTATGCTGATTGATGTTGGGGATTAAGAGGGAAGATTTGTGCCATCTTTGATATTAATAATTCTTGTTTTTGCTGCTGTTTTTGTAAGTGCTACTGAGTTATAGATCCCTTTTTTTTTTACTTTAATGGACCAAGTGGATGGACAAAGATATTTTAGATGATGTGATATCTATGCATCTTGTGGATGGTAAACAACAAAAATATTTTCCCAAGGCTAGCTTTTTCTTTCTTCTTAATTCTAATATTGGAGGGGATTTCTTCCAACTTAATTAAGTATACGTGTCAATATAATATGTGTCACGTCGCCTGTTGATTCCAACTTCTGCCAGCTTTTCTTATTCATTTCGTTCCATGGCCATTGTCCATCTGAGGAACAATCTGCAAGGTTGTTTTCCTGTGGAGTTATCTCTCCTAGATGGGTTGCTGTCCTTGGTTAACAAACTTCATCTGCCTGGGGTTTTAACTCTGAACTTTAGGGTTAGAAACTATGTGAATATAAGAAATAGAAGGATATATATATATATTTTTTTGCTTTAATCGAAGAACTGCAAAAATATTCTATTCCTCATTGCTATTCCTCCTATTTTGTGTGATTACTATTATCATATTATCAGCTAAACAGATTATCTAATTATTTCTCTAATGATACAATTAGGAAAAGCAATACAGTATGTCACAATCTATAATACTTGAAAGTCACTCTAATAGTTTCTTATAAGAAACTATTTTTAGATCAAGCAACATCTTTAAAGATAATACAACATACCTTCTGCGTGTAGTATAATTAAGTTTTTTTAATTGTAATCATGAAATATCAGGTTGTGATTCACTGCAGTTATGCAAATTATAGGTTAATGAACAATGTAATTTCATTAAAAAAAACTTCCTGTTGAGAGATAATGATGTTAAATAAAGGTAGGGAGGGGAGAGGCGGAGCATGAGGCAATTTTTATTAGCATCATGCATGTCACAACACAACCACATTTGCTGGGGTAGTCAGTGGGTCGTTGGGTTTTCTGGCCAACTGGCCATCAACTGTATACAAACCAGATTAGTTGAAATGGATGGTATGTCTAAGTATACAAACCAGATTAGTTGAAATGGATGGTATGTCTAAGTATACAAACCAGATTAGTTGAAATGGATGGTATGTCTAAGTATACAAACCAGATTAGTTGAAATGGATGGGATGTCCAGGTATACAAACCAGATCAGTTGAAATGGATGGTATGTCTAATTATACAAACCAGATTAGTTGAAATGGATGGGATGTCAGCAAAAACGGTTGCCAATAAGTTAAAAGATTATTTTAAACTATAATGCTATTGTTAATAAACTGCAGAACTAACTTAGCAATAAATAACATTTTTATTTCTTTAAAGTGTCTGCTTTTAAAACATTGTTTTGATGGAGGTCTGACTCTAATAATTGGACAGCACATGTGACATAAACATAACACTGGTTGTGGGTTTAATTTATGTCCTGAGTTACAAGTGAAATTACACTTATTTATTAACTACACAAATACCCCCTAACATCTGCAAGCTGTAATACAACCAATGCTTCTGTAACAACAAAAACTAGGGCCTGTTGTGATATTTACCTCTTGAAATGATTGATTAAAAATACTTTATTGCAGTGCTGAAATAGCATGCCGTTATCTCGGTTACCTTTTATTTAACTATTTCTCAAAGCAACAATTACCATTGTTTCACTAACCAGCTTGTAAGAATTGCTTTGAAAATTGATTGTAAATACACTGGAACTTTAAGAACAGTGAATTTTTTTTTCAACTTTAGGCAAATTCAGCTGTTTCCAAGTTAAAATATGTGTAAAAACAAGTCATAATTTAAAAAAAAATTGGTTTTTACAGTCAAAATTTTGTGTGAAGACGTATATATTATTTTAGTGTAAGCCTGTTTACACTCTTTACCAACTGCTGGTGGAATTGTTCTTCTAATAATTTTTTTTTACATGACTGCTAAGCTATTACAATGTTTATTTTTAGGGTTAATAAACTTGATTTTTGCCTATTATTTTTATTGAATTTAAATTATACTCAGAATAAATAAAGCTTCTATATTTTATCTTATCAATTTATGCTTTTTTTATAATGTATGCAGCTAGTTTTTAAAATTATAAAATTCAATAAAATTTTCTACTTTTGTATTTTTTTCTGACCTTTCTTATATAGAAAAAATGCTTATATTTTCTTTATGGCTTAGATATTTCAAGCTATGCTTGGTTAAAATAATATAAACAAAAATGTCATGTAATCATACTTTTTTAAAGAATTTAAAACGAAACAAAACAAAAAGCACTAGAGAAAAAAGGCAATAATTACTCATCCAAAAGTTCATGAGGTCAGTGCTATCTTCTGCTGAGATAAAAATTGATTTTTGCTTTAGCTTACAATTTATTTTGCCAGGAATATCAAGTGCAGCCAGCAACTAGCTGTAGTACACACTTTCATGTGTACAGCAGTAGTACACACTTTCATGTGTACAGCAGTAGTACACACTTTCATGTGTACAGCAGTAGTACATACTTACATGTGTACAGCTGTAATACACACTTTCATGTGTACAGCTGTAGTACATACTTACAAGTGTACAGCTGTAGTACATACTTTCATGAGTACAGCTGTAGTACACACTTTCATGTGTACAGCTTTAGTAAACGCAGACATTTGTAGAATCTTTTTAATTATTTTGGAATACAACATTCTCATTTAATTAAACAATTTTTTTTACTTAACTCACTTTCCATACATTAAAATTATAACTTTACTTTTTCTTAGCTTAGTATTCTTGCCTGCAGATAACTGCTCTACAATACTTGAATCTTAGAAATTTTTAAGGTTACATCATGTATTTTAGACAAAAATATCAACATAACCTCTATATGATGAAGCCATCAGATTGATTTTGACTGTCCAAAAATAATTAATTTTTAAAAAATCACCCATATTGCAAATCAACTGGAGCAAAGGGATATTTTTACTATTATGTACTATCTTGCTTGTATTATAATAATTATATGCTATTAGAAGTAGTGTTGATTTGGTTTTTATTTTTTATTTTATTTTTTTAAATCTGTGTGGTTTTTAGTGGAATGGCTTGTGAAGAAATTACTAATTATTTTTGTCATTAATTTTGAGGTAACTCAAATTTAAACATTAAGCTGCATTTTTAAAATTTGAAATCCAATCATATAAAATACATGTTTTCTTAGCGTTCCACTTAAGTCAGAATTATTTTTCGACTTAACTGATTTAAAAATGTAATTAATTTACATTTATACAAATTCACATATTGCAAGTTTTAAAAAAACACTCCTTTCTGTCAAATATATTGATTAGGGGGCATAAAACTTAGAAGTTATTTTTACTATAATACATTTTGTTTTATTTAAGCATAATAGATTAATACTTGAATTCAGCTATTTGGATATTTCCAAATCTTTTGTTTTGGTTGATTTTGATGTATTATAATATTTAAATGCAAACTTTTTCAAAGGCCATGATCATCTTGTTAATATTTTTATGGCAAAGTTAATCACATCATGACTTTTGTAATTTAATTTTGAATTTTAATTATTTAATATAGTGATATGCGAATACAATCTAATTCTACATTCTACCCTGAATCACAAAGGCTTTTATTTATTTTATTTACACTTTGCAGGTCGCAGTTTGAATGTGAAGAAGAATGATGCTATTAAAGAGAGTACAGAAAGTAACACAATCGAAGATGAAGATTCAAAAGGTAATTTTCAAGCAATTCTTTATAGACATGTATAAATCATGATTATTATAAATCAATTTTTATCAAATCTCAAGAAACTAGTAGATATTGTTTATTCTGCTCTCTAACAATGTTGTCTTCAATTAAACCTGCACACAACTACAAATATTTGTAAAAGTTGTATGCGCACATAGGATGGGCTTTTCGTTGATAAGATAAGTAGAAGGGTATAGCTGAGTGTATAATAATGCCAGCCCTAGTAGTCTGAAATGGCTAACTAGTTGAAATGTGTGTGTTGTTTTGTGCGGTTTTTTTTAGTGCATATTTCATTTTTATTCTAGAGTTATTTGAAGTGGACTTAGACAATCTTGACATTTTTTAAGTTATTCTGTTTCTTTCTTTTCTTTTTTTTAAATTACACCCTTTAAAATAAAAATATACAAAAAAAACAACCACATGAAATACTAAATTTTGCATCATTTTAATTTTAAAAACATCTCAGTCTCACAAAACTTGAATTTTGCTTCATAAACTGTACTGTGATTAAATATATTCAATGACATTAAGTATGATAGAGCATCAAATTATTGTAAAATATTTCTTGATGAAAAAATTGGCAATCTAATTCCCTTTTTCTAGTGAGCATTAAAAGAAGAAAACAAAAAATAAAACTTATTTTAATTAATTTAAAAAATTGATCAAAGTAACAGACATTACTGTGCTTTTTTTAAAATGTCTCATTTCCAAGTGAATTACAAAAAAACTTTTTTTGGAAATCAATTAATATTAATCTTGTAATACCTCAGAAAGTATATATATCTCCTTTTTATTTTACATCAATTTCTAATGTAAAAAAGTGTGAAAAATGAAATTATTTTGAACTAAAATTATAAAATTTTTAATTAAAACAATATAACCAGCGCCAGATCATTAACTAATTTTTTTCAAAACCTTTATTGTTTAATGAAAATAAATAACTGTAGCCTGACTTGATAATAAGTTTTTTTTCTGGAATGTATATGAAAAAGAGTTGAACTTTTCTACAGAGTATCTAGTTAATATATTTTGTATCATATTTTGTTCTTTAAAGTTGTGTCAGTCAAATGTGACCTAGAAAGTAAGTATGTAGGCTTTGAGTGAAGTGATTCTGTCCTATCATTTAGCCGCATTATTCATAATACATTCTAGGATCCCAAACCTCCTTAGTAGATCCATGCGAAAGTCCTCTAACTGGATTTGCTTGCATTGATGTGAACAGTGACACCGAGCCCTTTCATTTTATCTTTAGTTTTTGAGCATCATATTGGTACTTTTAAAATCAGTGGTCGATTTACAAAATTAAATATAAAAAATTGTATAACATAGGCTAATCGTCATTTGTGCAGTAATGAATTATGTTTCTCATGTGTATTGCCTCATTTATTAATGACTGTAGACTTCAGTTTTGTATTTTGTACATTCTAAGAAAACTTGCCTTACAAATCGACCACTGCCCTTTCCCACAACCAAGTAGCATCTGATGCCTACATCATACTTTTAAAAATGTATCTTTTGTTTTGTTATTTTCAAATTTTGTTATTTTATTTTTTTAGTTTAGAAAATTAGATCTAGATTTTTTTGTTTCATTTGTTATAGCTAGATTTTTGTTTTGATAATAATTCTTTTAAATTAACAGTTTTACATTTCTCCAAAAAATATCTCTTTCCCTAATTCATTTATTTTAAAAAAAATTGATTAGCTTACTCTAGAATGCTTTTTTGCAGCAAAATATATTTTAGTACTGTTAAATAGAGAAATATACTGCACATATCTAAACACTTACAATCTTCTACTTCAGTCATTGCTAGTCCTTAATTCTTCTCAATTTAACAACCCTAATTTATCTGATGTTTCTATGCATCACTTACAATTTGATCTTTTTATGCATCTTGGGTATTTGGTCCTACTGATGTAACTGGTGATAGCCTACAGCTGTGGTTAAGGGGGCCCATCATTGGCTTCTCTGGGATGAGGTGGGGGTGGGCTTTCTAATTGTTTAACTGTCAGGTGTAGCTAAGGTGAGGGTGGCTATCTAGTGTCATAGCTATGGAACAGGTAGGGCACATGCTATAGTTGCACCAGACCTACATACAAGCCAATTTGGGTCAGCACTTGGGTCAAAAATTATACTCCAGGCCATTAAGGGCATTACTTGGGTCTAAAATTATACTCTAGCCCATAAAGGGCATTACTTGGGTCTAAAATTATACTCTAGCCCATAAAGGGCATTACTTGAATACTTGGGTCTAAAATTATACTCTAGCCCATAAAGGGCATTACTTGGGTCTAAAATTATACTCTAGGTCATTAAGGGCAGTACTTGGTTCTAAAATTATACTCTAGGCCATTAGTGGTAGTAGGCCTACTTAGGTCTAAAATCATTTATAAAACGATAATATAGAGGCAGTACTCTGATTTAAAATTATACTTAAAACCATTAGTGATATTACAGTTACTTTGATATCAGATTATACTCAAGGCCATTAGGAGTAGTACATGGTAGTTGAATTATACAAAAGCTCAAATACTTGTGTCTAAGATTACTTAGGGGTAGTACTTTGATTCAAAAACTATACACAAGGCCTTTTGAGTCAGTTTTTAAGTCTAAAATTATAGTAGCCTATTTTAAACCCAAAGTTTAGTGTGCCTCAGCCAGGAAATGTGCATCTAATTCTAGACTGCTGATGCTAGCTCTTCTTTTTCACATTTTTTAGATTACAATCACACTTTTTTTTACATATTATTTCAGTTTTAAAACAAGATTAATTTTTTTTTATTCAAGTTGAAAAGATTTAATCTTTCTTTATTAATTTAAACCAGAATTTCTGGTCGTACATTTGATTATTTTTCTGTTGAAATGGGTTTTATGTATTTGACCTGTGTCAGTGAAACGTGAGTGTGAATGATTGCTAATTAAGTATGGCTTGTGCATGATTGTCGTCAAGTTATAAACCTGGCTGTTTTGTTCTCATCAAGAGTGCTGGAATTCTAAAAAGAGCATGAAACTTCATATTGTATTTAATTAAAGAAAACATGCTGTTGATGCTTCAGAGCTTAACAACCCACTCATTTATTTTAAAGGAAAAAAACTCTGCTTGTAGAAATGCATTTCAGTTTTCATTTATATTACTCGAGCTTCAATTATTTTTTTTTAAAATAAATATTTAAATAGAAATATATAATAACTGCCCATTTATTCCTATTATTGTTAAAAATGTAATACAAAATAGATATAGAAGAAAAGTACGTATGAACATAAATTCTTAACATAGCGAAATTCCCTAGGGGTGTATCAAGTATCTGTTAATATGTTATCCACAAGTCAAGAACATCCGGGTAAGAAAGAAGAGAACACTAAAATATAAATAGTCAGATTTTTTCAAACAAAATAATACATTAGTCTGTAATAGTCTATATGTATTTTATTTTTTAAATTCACTCATAACAAGCTGTGAGTAAGCCAATGTTATATATGTACACACAAGCTTTTTCTTGTTTTAGTGAGAAAAATTACTCTTGTCAATTTCTTTAACACCTGTTTGTCTGTCACGCACCTGTTTAGTGATGTGTTGAAGAAAATTTGGTTTTGATTTTGGGGAATTTTATTTTCAGGCCGTAAACAGGAAATAATAAAACTGACAGAGCAACTTCTGCAGGCAATTACAAGCGGAGATTACGGAGAGTATACGTAAGTCACTGTGGTGTATTTTATGTCTAGTTTAATTGATTTTTGCCCAATAAATATTTGCTGCTTCGTAAAATTATTTGAAACTACCATTCATTTAATAACGTATAAATTGTTACAAAGTCACCTTAGCATGATTTTTCTTTATTTTAAAGTTTTTATGATTAATTTGATAAAAACATTTTTTTTTTCTGAACAGGAAGCTAGTGGATCCTCATTTAACCTCCTTTGAACCTGAAGCCTTAGGGAATCTAATTGTTGGTTTGGACTTCCATAAGTTTTACTTTGATCATGGTAAGTCTTTAGCACTGGACTTGTTTTGTAAGCCTTTCTATGTTTGTCAAATTTTAAATTCTAAAATATAGTTTAATGCTTTTTAAATATTATATTAAGAAATATTAAAGCTGAACATTTAGAATATAAACATTGTAACTATGCAAAAAAAAAATGCTGCCTTAAAATTGTGTCCAGTGTTTATTGAACTATAACTTCACTGCTGTAATGTTGCAATGTTTGTTCATTAACCAGAATTTTTAAAAAATTCTTTATTGATTGTATTATTTGTCCAGTAAAGAATAAATATTGATCAATAAATGTCAATTTTTTTGAGCAATAAACTGAAGGCTATAAACAGCAACCACTGTTGCTATAGTTACTCAAGCAGCAGCATGTAAACACAGGAACCAAAATCTGAACATTGGATAACGATGTTGTTATGCAAAAGGGAACCATTATCTGAACAAGTGGTAGTGATGTTCATATAATATACCTGAAAGCTGATTTAACTCATTAGCAATTTAATACCTACTTTCTGACTGTGCCCTGGGAATCTATTGCACCAGACATTAATGATTTCATAAAAAGAACATCGCCATATAAAAGCTGTAATTGAATCCCGTTTGACGTAAAATTTAATGTTTGATGTAAAATTTAAACCACATAAACTTGGAACACCTAAGGATTTGCAACCAGTGAACAGCAGTTTAATTTAACATGTTGCTAACAATGTAAAATTAAACCCACCTCCACATTAGCTTTCCTGAATGTGAAAGTGAAACTTGTTAACAAATTTAAAATGCATTTTGGAATGTATGATTAACATAAATAAATCATGCCTTCATCAAGAAAAACATATATTTTAAACATTAATTTTCCTTATGTTTTAATAGAAAAAAAATTACATAGCTAAATACATCATCTGTTAAAGATACAATATTAATATTTGCTTTATTCTGTTTTGAAAGGTCATATTGAATATTTCAGCATTGTAAATAAAGAATGGTATTAAATGTAAATAAATCAAGGAGTAAAGTTTATAATCAAACTAAAGAACGGTGTAGGTAAATCTGTCATTGTCTATTTCATTACAGCCAATGCTGTAGAAACTATCTCTCTTGACCCAGCCATGTCAGGGGATGGGTCGGAGGGTCCCCCTCGTGGTAATTATCTATGAATTTCCTTTTTTTCTCTCTGCAATTTGCAATTGTAATCCTAAACGTTTTTTTTTTTTTTTTTTTTTTTGAAAAAGTCCACTCAAAGCTAACTTGTAGAAGAGAAACCATTTCTTTCAAAATATGTAATATGTTTGGACGATTAGTAATATTGTGTAAATATAGAAAATAAATGTTACCCTTAAATCTATGAAATAAATATAGTTGGTATTATAGTTGGGGAGTGTTCATGGTTGATCTCTATGTTGGTTTTTCTGCTGATCTTTACCGTTCACTTTTTGTGTAGCTATAATTATCTAGGGTAGATTTCAGTCCAACTTACATCTCCTGCTAAAGAGCTATCATCATGTTTTGCAATGTTGCAAAATTTTTCACTAGAATATAATGCTGTTATTTAATAAAATATAGTATTTAAATACTATAGTTCCAAGCATAAATACCTTGTAAAATCTATTACAAGAATTACAGAAATCAGCGTAAAAAATATATTATATCTAACTTGTTTAAATACTAGTTGTTCATGTTGAAGAAGAATTATTAAAACTTTTTGATAATATTGAACACTCCTCGTAGTGTAGAGAATGTCTGTTGACAAATGATTAGAAATAGATGGTTCATGTAGTTTAATATTTGGGAACAGGTACTAATATTATTCATTAAACTTTTGGACATCTACCTAACACATTAATTCTTTTTAATGTTGTTCATAATCGTAAAACGAAAATTGCTGTATAGATTTCAGAAAAGAAAATACATTATTTTATTGATTTAGTTAATCTTAAAGCAAGGTTTATCTGCACAGATAAAACAGCTTTTCACAAACAGCAAAATCCTGTGGCTTTATAAGACGACTATTAATTTCCTCTCAGCTTGCTTCATACTTTCACAAAGCTTACATATCTTACCCCTCACCAACTGTGGATTAGGTACTTCCATGGTAACTATCTACAGGAAATTCATGACTCTTAAGGTTCCTAAATAACATCCTATTTGTGCATGTCTAAGGAATGAGTTTTTATCTTATTAACTAGTTAAAAATATGCCATGTTCCAAAGAAAATAAAATCCTTTTTCCTATACAAATGGATTGTTAACTCTAAACCATTTTAGTTGGAAATATTTTTTCTAAAATGCTAAAATAGACATGTGTCTCAGTGATTTCCCCTTTCCAGCACAGCTTATTCAATCCATTGGATTGAACCATCTTCTGTTATTAACTTTAAATGTTGTTTATCTTAAAACAAATCTTTTCCTGAATCAAAACATTATAAACTCATTGACCTCTTGCTGCTAATTATTGCATCATCAGATCAATACAACCTAATATTGATCAAATATTAATTATACCTAACTCACACAGCTTTTGTTTTAATTACATAGGTTAATTTTTAGAGTACATGATTTCTCTCATTTCTTTACTCATTTCTTGATGTTAAACCTATCATCAGAATTAAAATTTAGTACTTGGCATTGTTTGGTGTTAGCAGAGTCAACTTAGAATAACAATGTATATATTTTCATATTTGATCTGTGATTGATGTTGATTATTGAAAGGTAAAATGACATGTGCTATCATCTGAAACTTTAAACCATTGACATCTAAAATATCAAACAACAATCAAAATGTCAAACAGCAGCTGTGGAGCTTCCTTGTTACCAGTACACAATTTGCCATACGCTCAACACAGCACTTTCAACTATAATTAACCATATAGGGCTTCAGCATGATTTGCTTGTTTATAACTGGCATAATTAGCATGACTAATGAATTATTCCTCTGACCAGGGATTGTACCATGGACTCTAATGGAATTAGTTTACTAACCTCATAAATAACATTTTTTCATAAAATATTTGAATATTAATTAGTTTAAGTGTTTGAAATAATTTTTTTATCTGTCATAAAATAAAATCCATTTGCTTATGGTATTTACTTAATGAAACAGTTATTTTATGTGTTAGCATTTTTTCAATTGTCATTCATTTTGAAAAAGGAACATTTTGTATATTTGTTTACTGAGGGTGTAGCAATACTTCCTTGATTTTATTTATATGTATTTTGATTCTCTAAGCCAAATGGCAGCATCTACTGTAAAGAAATATTCATTTAATTCTGTGGTCCTCACATGAAATCACTCAAATTTAAAAGTAGAAACACAGCCAACAGTAAGATGGGGTGAAACAACACAGCAAAAAAAAAAAAAATAAGAATATAAAAAGAATAAACTTGTGGTTAAATGTATCATATAAAATACTCCATTAGAGTTAAGCCTGGTAATATTTGATTGAAACCATTAAATATCTCCTTCCATATGTGCATCTTACAATAGTTTGCATGAGCATAACAAATTATCTAAAGATCATCTTATAATTCAATTAAAAAAAACAAGACCAACTATTAATTTAAAAAATTAATATTAAAATAACATTAATTAGTCTCAAGATTATTAGTTGCTGAGAACTAACCAACACTAACCTTTCAATGAAAATTATATTTTTGTGTGTTGGATTGGTAGTTACATTATCTCCTGCTTTCAAGGACATATTTAAATGGTTAAAGTGCTTAATCGGTCAATAACACACATTAGCAGTTAGTCATTTGTTGTGTGTTTGTTGATTAACCATGTATTCAAATGCTGTTTAAAAACCAATGTTTTTTATTTTAAAATCTTTCAGTGCTGTCTAAAAATAGCAAGCCAGTGAACACAAGTATACTCAACCCACATGTTCATTTGCTAGGTGAAGACGCTGCCTGCATCGCGTATGTCAGGTTGACTCAATTCATTGACAGGTAACTTAAATTTTCCTTCTAATGTCACAATAAATGAAACGACTAGATAAAATGTTTTGTAAAGACATTTAACAAAATATATTGTAATGAAATTTATCAAAATATATATTGTAAATAAATTTAACAAAATATATAGTGTAAAGAAATTTAACAAAATATATATTGTAAAGAAATTTAACAAAATATATATTGTAAAGAAATCAAATGAATGTAGCCTTCTTTTTAAAAACCATATTTTATATATTAAAAAAATATTTTTTTGAGTAATATATTGAGTATTCTAGTCAGTGCTTTTTAAAAAACAAATATTGTGTAAGTATAAAGGCTTATAGATCATAAAATATTTTTAGTCTCATGGCTAACCAGTGTATCTCATACTTTCAGAAATGGGCTACCTGTTACCAAGCACTCAGAAGAGACTAGAATTTGGCAGCGAAAAGACGGCAAGTGGCAAAACGTGCATTTCCACCGGTCAGGCTCACCAACAACAGAGACAGGGAAATAACTCTGATGACGTAGAAAGAAAGCTTAATGATTATATTTTTCTTTAGATATTCAATTAACTGTATGCTCACTGCAGAAGCTCATTATTAGAACAGCTGATGTCTAATAAAATTGTTTGGTGGCTCCAGTGGCGTATCGCACCTTCAGGTGTCTGCCAATTGTTAATTGCATATAATAAATGCATTTTTCAAATTTTAAATAAACAAAAATATAACAAGAGTGATGAACTGTGCATTTCCTAACAGCATGCAGGTGCCCATTAGTTCGTGGGGTACAGTGGAAGCAAGCTGTATGATTTTACAGTGTGTGGAGCTATTTTTTTATTCCATAACTGCCTTCATCAGTTTTTCCCCCAACTTTGATTTCTTTAATTTTTTTTTTTTTAATTCTCGCTTGTTTTTGACTGCACACTGAACAACTTCTATGTTGGCATGAATGTAACCTCTGGAATGCACTCTTCAGTTGTGTTTTTTTTTTCTTTTATGAATATTATTGCAAGAAATCTGCTGTGAATTGCATCTTGCTACTACCGCTCATTTGTAAAGTTGAATCTTTTTGTTTAAATCACCACTTTTATTTCCTCTTTATGTGAAAGGGAAAAATTAACAACATAATTTACACTTTTTCAAGAGCTGTGTTATACATTTTTTTGTGTGTCAAAACTTTGCAGAGTGTTTTATGAGATGATGAAGTGTGTACATTTCTGTATGTACATCTCAGTGTGCAAGTTTTGTTACTTTGGTGTGTAATATGCATATTCTCAATCCACCAAGTGGAACATGATCCACCAAGTGGATCTTGACAGCTTAGTTTCTTCGTGAACTGGTGTGATTTTGTATCTTGTCAACTTGATCGGTTTTCTTTTAAAAATTAATATAAATTAATTGGAGAAATTGTGTTTATTCTAAACTGTTGTAGCAATGTTTAGTTGATATTTTAAATTTTAAAAAATTTGCTCTTTCACATTATGATCTAAAAATAAAAGTATATAAAATTTGTTGTTTTACTAAAATATTTTTAAAATGTCGGTATTTTAGCTAGGTTATGCTACAGAGATAAACATTTTTCAAATTTCATTTTTAATAGCCACTGATCAAGAAGTTGTTACTGGAAATGATCAAAATTATTTTTTCATCATACTCGTACATTTTTCTTGCAATATTTTATTACAATGTCATCTGTACCCTAATATCTTTATTTAAATTTATTTAGATTAGTTAATGGTCATGTTGCGTCGTTATCACATTGGCTATGTAACAGGCCCTCGTGTACTGGAGGGTCCACTGCTAGACTCTAGAACTTTGGTTCACTCTAACCATGTCCAGCTTTAGCTGTTTCATGCAAATTAAGTTTTCTTAATAAAGTATTTAATAAAAGAAACTGTCTTTTTATTATTATTATTAATATTATTCATATATTATTTTTCCACATTCCTATTTAGCAAGGTGATAGATTTTCAAAAAAACTATTATTATGAGTTAAAACTGGCTATATGTTCAGACATGAGGAATTCTACAATACAGAGGGATGATGGTTGAACCATTAACAAAGTAAAAGTACATAGCTTTAAAAAAAATCATCTTTAAAAACATCATCTTTAACCTCTTATTATCTCATAGAAATATAATATTTGTTATTTATTTTAAAAATATAAGTATCTTTTAACAACAGTGAAACCTGTCTACCATTTAAACCTTGATAACAGAGTGAATAGATTAGAATAATTAAACACAAACTATCACATACTTAAATATTTTTTTTCTTAAGAAAGTTGTGTTAAGAAACTGTGTCTGAAATTCTATGAGTCTAAAATAAACAGTAGACCCATAGAATAAATCTTTTTTTTTCAGCACATTCAGAAAGTGCATAAAATTAGTTTCCTATCATGTGATATTTGATGCATGATGTATATAGCTGTGATAGAACAAGCATAATTTTTAAGTCTGTTGCAACATTTTTAGACCTTGTAGGAAAAGCATCTGTTTGAAACTAAAGGATTTACCCATGTATGTGCTATCTAAATTTGATTTCTGTGACAAACATTTAACTATGTGAGGGATATTAATTAAGTCTTAACAATCCATGTACATATATTCAATGGTTGTATATGAAGATTTTGTGAAATATCTTTATTTTCTTTTTCAACTCAATATTTGTCACCAATACCATCACACTGTGCACTATATGTATTTCTTCAACTTTAATTATCTTTCAACTGTGACATCATTCTAAGCCCAGCTTTTTAATCAATTTATTTTGCTTGTAGAACCCTTTTTTTAATTTGAGTGGAGAAATATTTAACATTATATATTTATTATTGATACTATTGTATACCTGTAGACTTCTTTATATCTTATCTTGGATAAAAAAGATAAAGCTATATTATAATATTCATATATATACATATATTTATATATATTCTGCACTTCTATTTATTATAGACTGAAAAGGTTTTTTGTTTATAACTTAAAAGTTAAAGCAAGTTATTTTTGAAAATTTCAGTACCACCGTTTTAACCCAACATTTTATTATATGCCTATTTATAGTGTTAATGTCGCATCCCCCGTCTTTTCACTTTACCTGTCTTTGTTGTCCTTCTGCCTTTTCACTCTTCATTTTTGAAGTTTTCATTCAAAAAAGAAGAACTGTGTTGAAATTTTAAAAATAAATGTAGTTCTTTTCCCTTTTGTACTAATTGTTGGTAGAACTTAAAATTTTTTTATTTTGCTAATTATAGGAATGTTATTTACTCAATTTGAATACATGGTTTTACTATTTTAAAAAATTAATTTATTAAATATGTTAGTAAATTAATTCTAAATTTCCACAACAATTATGATTTTCATCAATAATTTAATACTGAATATGACATTGTATTTGTAGGCTGTTTAAATTTACAGGTAGTTAACTTATTTTTATAATTCTATCATCGACTGCATGCAGATTCTAATTTGTGATTTTTCAAAACTTTCTTCCAGAAATATGTTGCACTACATGAAAATTTGTAAAGTATGTTTCATTCATTTTATTACAGTATTTTCACTTTTATCTGATATAAAAAAACTTATTTTAAAAAATTATTATTTCCCCTTGGAAATAAAAAAGCATTTATTAATACTGATTCGGTATCACTTGATTAACATTAGTCCTTTCTGTAGCCAAATGAATTTAAACTTTTTGTCAACTTCACAAAAGAAAATCATCACTATTTTCTTAGCTTGTAGTTGAATCAAAAGCAGATTAAAAATTGCAAATATTGAAAATGATTTATTTAGGATGACCGAAACATTAAAAATTTATTCTCTAGTCACTAGAAGAGTTTACTGCATGTTATCAATAAAATATCGAATTTCTAATTAGAATTCCCTCTAGAAGCAAAAAAGAGTTTTGAAATCTAGAAATTTATTGCCACTATAAATTATAATTAGGGTTAATGTTTAATTGGTAGTTAAGCATCTTCTAATTAATACATCATATTTGGGTTGAAAGAAAATTCTTTGAATTTTTTCCATGCAACTGAAATACTTGAATCTTTTTATAGATTATCTTTTTTTAAAACTTCATCAATGTATTGTGATGTGTGTCTAGTGAATTATTGATTTTTTTTTGTTTGTCTAATCATTGATTCTGCAGTGCTCAAGGGTGTTGTGTATTCTTTTTATAAATTTTCATTGCTTCTTCCATCTAATTCCTGCACATACCTTGTATAGTATAATTTGACCTCGTTGGTTCTTTTGGGGTATTTTTCTGTTTCGTTAACTCTTTTTTAATGTAAGCATTGGGAATTGTATAGTTGTTGTGTCTTACAAAGTATGAATTGTTCTTAGCACAAAAATATATTTATCAATTCATTTTAGAACTAAGACAGACATAAAAGAAAAGAAAATGTTTTTAAAAGTGCTAGTTATTTAGCTTTCACATTCATATTTAAAATAAATATTACTTGAACATTTTATTGTTTTGTTAGTAAAAGTTTCTTTTTATAAGCATATTTGGTGTAAAATGCATAATACTTTCAAGAAAATAAATTTTAATGTCTTTTTCTTCTACCAGTGTTTTTTCTTAAAACCTTTTCTGCAACGAGTAACAATATATGTATAAGAATACTATTTTAATATAAATGCATAAACCTAATTATGACTATTTACCACATTTTGAAAATATCAGATCTCTTTATCTCTCTCCCCAACTCACCTGTTTGTCATGTGCCTGTATGATGAATTTTTATAGTCTCTTTCATTTGTTAGAAACTTTTTTTTTCACTACTGTCTGGCTATTCCAAAGCCAGACAATTAAATTAATTAATTAGCGCTTTACATATAGTGTTCCTTATCTCAAAATAAATCATTTTAAACTGATGGTGTCTTTCTTTTATTTTTTTAAATAATCAAGATATCTTATGTTGTGAGAGTATTTTTGTGTGTCAGGCATATCCCTAAAAGCAGTTATTAGAATTTGATTCGAGTATAGGCAATGAGTTTCCAAATTGTTTTCACTATGCCTTCCTGAAAATATTGTAACTCACCTAACCTTAAAAACCCATACAATATAATTTTTTAACCCAAAATGACTAATTTACCATAACTCTTATTGGTCTACATCTTAAATGAATGAACCACTATGTTTGAACAGTTTTGAAACTGATAAAGGAAATAAGAACATCAGACATTTGGAGAAAAATATATTGTAAACATCCATTTAAACTGTCTCTAGATGAATTTAGTTTTTAAGACATGTATTTACTGTTCATTAATGTATATTTTATTATTTAGAAACATTGAGCATTTTTGTAAAAGTTAGCTGGTCTCTCCTAGAGTCAACATCTACATATGAGCCTCAGAATTTGTAAATCACTGTTGTAGACCTATTAGTTATTGACTCCATAATTAGTAACTTTTTAAACAATGTCTACTACACATATAATGGTGTACAAAAAATAGTGACCCCTAAACTGTTAAATTACCTGCACATAAATCTAGATTTTAGGGAAATAACAATTACAAATTAATTTGTGTTTCACAGGTGTTAGAAATTTTACAAGCGATCAACTCTTTTTACCATTACATCAGAAGAATGAAAGTTTCTTTTCTTATTTTTAGTGAATTTAAAAGCTTGTTGTTATAAACAAGACTATATGTTTTGTTTTCTACTTAAATGTAGGAGTTTAAATATTAAAACAGTAAGTTTAAATTTAATATTTAAAAACAATTAGCACCCCACTTTAATTCTTTCCATTCCATTTGTTAAGTCACACCCCACAATACTAAAAAAATTTGCCTAATAAGCTCAATCATTATTATTGCCCCTTACTGAAGGACACCATGGTAGAATGCAATGTTTCCTCTAAGCTGTATGGTTACGCAGCAGCGTAGTGGTTGCAAACCTACTGCACTGTCATCTTTAAAAATATAGATAACATTGTTTAAGTCTTTTCAAGGTACCACACAGATAAAATATAATTTGCACATAAGCTTTTGCTCCCTAAAAGGAATGTTGGTCAAATGGTAGAGGGTTTGGTCGCTTGCCTGAAGGTCTAAAGTTCGGATCTCAGTTCAGTATTGTGACTGTAGGACGTTCACCCAGCTGTGATGAGTACCTGACTTTGGGGAAAGTAAAGGCGGCTGGGCATTTGCAGAGGTCAAGAAACATGAACTCTGCTTCAACTACCCAATGGATCACTAGGTCAAAAGAGGAATCTCTACCTTACTTTATTATCATCATTACTAGGCTCTAAGGTTTGAAAACATTTGTGAACACCAGCTCACTTCATTTGTCTGACTGATCAGGTGGGACATCTTCAAATTATCCTTATATTTGATATTGTTTTTGAATATGTTAATCTTTGAATTAATTTTTTTAATGACTAACAAAATAGCTAACAAGCTACCAAAATTCGGATATTGTTGCACTGTAATACGAATTAGGTCAAAATTTAGCTAAGTTTTGATCATCATCCCACCAACACAACCATAGATATTGCACCTTAAAAAAGTTGTTAAAAGCTGTTTAATGGCTCTCATACCAGTTGTTTTCTGGATCATACAAGCTGTTTGAAATGCTAAATACTTGCATAAATACACACACACACACTTGGCAACAGCAAAAAAAAAAATATATATAATCATAATATTTTCAAATGAAAAAACACTTATTCATTTCAAACATTTATTTTAAAAGATTTTCTTCTGCAGTTTAATATTTACAAAAAAAAAGTTTCATTTTTTTTTAATTAACCTGTACAATACAAGTAAAAGCATAGGGTAAGTATCAAGCATTGTTGTTTACTATACACTAAATATTAAGAGGTTCTTAGTGTATACATTTCAATTGCAGTTTAGATACATAAGGTTTATGTCAGAAAGTAAACACATGACTGTATTAACAGCTCATTCAACTCATACTTTTACACTTCATTCAGGTTTTTATAAAACCACACAAGCAGAGAATGAAACAATACACAAATTCAATTGAAAAGCTACTACATAAATATTTTCAATTTAAAAAAAAATTCTGGGATGATAACCAAGGGAGATGAAATAGTTTAACAATAAATGTACACCGAATTTCTTTTAAAGAGGAGGTTCCCTTTAAATATACTAGGTACTCATATTCGTTCCTTTAGTAAAAACAATTTATCTGAAATTATTTTGAACTGTAAAAAAATGTTAATCTGAAAAAAAAAATAATCTACAACTGTATCTATAACAGTATTTTAATTTGTTGCGGAAAGAAGTCAAAAGGCTTTATTACTTGAAAACACATTTTTGGAAATGTGTAAAGAGCTTTAAATTTACAAATTATAGCCTAAAGCAATATTTTGAAGTGACAAAACAATGTTAAGCATTTATGAGTGGAAGAATAATCTAAATTAGTTATTGCTAAATTAATTTTAGTTTATTAATTTTAATAAATTTTATAACCATTTTCATTATTACAAAATATGAAACAGGATTTCTTAAAAATGTATTTTATGTAACTTAAATTTAAAAAAAAAATATCTTGCTTTAATTAATTAATTAATTTGATTATATGTGAAACTACACGCTTAGATGGATATTACCTAGAAGAAGATACTAATCATTACATATGTAATAATTAATTACATTGGTTAAAACTTATTTCATTTGCAACCAATATTTAGATAAAAAATGTTACAAAACAAAATATGATATAAAACATGCTCTAGGAATTTACTTAACAACACCAAGACTCCATGGTAATGGAATCAATACCAGAATACTTATAATGCTATGAAGAATCACATTAAGGAAAATTAATATCTCATTTACAAATTATAAACAACATGTAAGGTGTTTTATTCCATCTAAGTTCAAATCTGTAAATAAACTGACATGCTTTAACCCTTTGAGCCCGGGCCTCCCTGGCCTAGTTTCTCCCATTTCCTGAGCTCCCAGGGCCAAACCAATTTTCACTTCTCTGCTTCTAACTTTGCCTATAACTTTTGAACCGTTTGAGATAATCAAGCCAAATTTGGTATCCAGCAAGATTCTGAAATTCTTTATTTGCTTACTATGTATGAACAGAACAATGTATATAAAACGAACACGTAATTATTGTTTTGATAGAACATAGAAGAAACAAATTTACATTTAGTAATTGTTTTGTTATTATTGATACCTGGCCATACTAGTTCATAGCCAGAAGTCCACTTTTGTGTGATAACTTTCAAAACAGTTATCACTGCCGGACCCGATGCAAAGAAAAACTTCGCATGTTTTGCACCGGTAAACAGTTGTTTTTTCGTTTCGACAAGTCTTTGTCCTTGGCACCACGTGCATCATAACGTACATTGTCACTGTCAATTGCAATGTCACTGAGTTCAGTCTCAAATTTTCAACGTCACTATCATCACAATATAGACCAGGAATATTATCTTCTTCATCAGAATCAATAAGCAGTTGTATTGCCTGAGATGCAGTCATTCTACTTCTTTTGTTGATATTTCGGTCTTTTGCTTCATCTTTTGCACCAACTTTATATGCTCAAGTCGATGGCTGTGGCTCAGCTTTTCGTTTCGGCGGCATTGCTACGAAATGTAAACACTTTCACTTTTCCTAAAATCTATTTTTAGAATCATAATCACGCACTAAAAAGACATATGCGCAGTTTTAGTCAGTCTTCCGCTAATTATATTTAATTAGACGGTATACCGGCCGCTAGGAATATGACGCTATATCATCGGGCCGGAAAACCGGCTTTTCGGACATATATGCCTATTGTTGAAGCCGGTTTACCGGCCTGGCGGGCTCAAAGGGTTAATAGTCTTTTTATGTAGTAGCCATTTGTGTATGTATGTATATATATATATATATATGGACTCTATATATATTCAAAATTTAACAGACATGAAGGTTTTTATTGTATATACCACCTATACACCAATATTTTAGTAAAGTAATTTAATGCTTAAATTGATTACTATGGTTACCAAATACTTTCATACCTTTTTATCAGCATTAGGTTTTTACTGTCATTTATTAATTTCATTTAATTAATTTAACCTTTAACAACTGGTTTAAAGACGGTTACATTTGTACACATGTATGTGTATTAACCAGACATTCTGAATTCCATACAGAAAACACATTCAAACTTTAAAAAAATTCTAATTGAAAAGCACATTTTAAAAACTTGTAAACAGCAACTATAAACAATAACACTAACAATATTAACAACTAGGGTAAGTATATGTGATTAACTATATTAATTTAATGATTAAAAATCATTAGCACTAAAATTGAAAATTTCCTCTTTCACTTGCAAATTGAAAAAAAAAGGTGTAAACTGATAAATATCTAGGTGAGTAAAAATAATTACCATTTTTAAAACCTCTATTGTAATGTGAAGTTATGATAGAAACAAATAAAGGCAACCAAGAACATGTAATATAAATTCTATTATTCCAGTTTGTCAATGAACAATGAAACTAGTGCTTATCTACTGTCAAAGCAAATAAGTTGCCTCCCTTTCTCCACAAGTTTCATTTTATACAAAATCAATACATGCAAACTGCAACAATAATATTTGAATGAACTTAATAAATACTAGATCAATACGAATTTTATGAAACTTAAAAATAAAAGTGCATTCTTTTACATACGATAATTTATTCATAGAAATGTGATTTGATTAAAATGAATGTTACAAAAATAGAACAAAGACCACAGGGGTAAATCACAGCACCACTTTGACTCGGGTCTCACCAGACTCAGCCGTGGGATTCAAAACTTGACTTATTAAATTAGATCAAGGGATTCAAAACTTGACTTATTAAATTAGATCAAGGGATTCAAAACTTGACTTTTTAAATTAGATCAAGGGATTCAAAACTTGACTTATTAAATTAGATCAAGGGATTCAAAACTTGACTTATTAAATTAGATCAAGGGACTCAAAACTTGACTTATTAAATTAGATTAAGGGATTCAAAACTTGACTTTTTAAATTAGATTAGCTCATGGGATTTAAAACTTGACTTATTAAATTAGCTCATATGATTTAAAACTTGACTTTTATAAAATAAGATTAGCTAATCTTAGCTAATAATGACTAACAAGATTTACTATTATTATTGCAAAAAGAAAAAAAAGCAAACCTAATTGTTTTTATTTAGCAACACTTAGTTCAGATGAAATATATTAAGAAACAGAACTAAGAGTTGATAACAGGGTCACCCAACCACAGAGAGTGATATTTCTAGAAGGGTTAATTAGACTGATAATGAAAAAATTCTTTACGGTATTACTTTTTTTATGTAGAGATGAACAAGAATTATCCTGCCTGCGTAACTTGCAGTAACTATTTTTACTCAGAGCTTTTCCAACTCACTATTTGTCTGAGAATATTAATAAAACAACCCAGTGACACGGGTTAGTTAAGGTCACCACAAAATGATTAACCCAAGGACAGTCAGGTCAACTTAACCTCATTAACACATGGACAGGTCAGCCACTGAGTCATTAGCTTTACCCTCATTATCCTATGGTCATGTGACCGGTATAATCAGCACTCACACCCTCTCAATTTATCATGTCTACATACTGTTCCGCAGCTGATAAATGCAAAAGCTGAACAATGGATTATATCATGATAATTAATTAACATTAAATGAGCTACAAGCAAGGACTAATTAGAAAACAAACAACGGTCTCCTAAGTTGGTACTAGAATCAGAACTACGAAAATTCTCTCCATACACTAGAGTTAAACACACATCTTGTAATGCACAAATTGTCTATTCAGTTCAAGGCATATTTTTGTTTAGTCCAGAACTTGCAGAAATCATGAAGCTGATCATAATTAATGTCAAATTATAGAATTGTTTCTGTCTTCGAATAAGACATGTTCTTTCACTGTCAACACAGCATAAGGTAATGCCTTTTTTTTTCTCTAATAGAGTTTCTTTTAGTCAGGACTTCGGAATCCTGAAGACGACACAGACACCACTCTGGAAAATGTCTTCAGAGCTTCCAGCTTCTTTGGTTTCAAAGTTTTTTTTTTTTATGTACAAGGCCAATTCAGAGGCCAGCTAGTGCAGCACACCATCTTTGATGCTAAGACAACATTTGCTTGAAAACTACACATCCTATCAGTTGCTTGAAAACTACAAAGCATATTAGCCGCTGAAGAATTTGCAAGCACTGACAGACTCAAGATGCGCCATGACTTAAAATTCCATAATTTAAAAAAAAAAATTCACACTTGGATGCGGAGTTCCAGATTTCTTCAACAGTATAGCAGGTCATGTGATTAGGCGTGTGTTTAGTTGCTTAATGTGAAGTTCTTTTGATTAGAGTTTTTGAAGTGAATCACTGGTATTAAAACAGTAAGAATGAATCCGCTCATTTCATCCTTGAAAGCGACACGCTTGCAGTGACGTAAGCATAGACGTTTAATATCCAAGTGAAGAATAGATTAATAAAAGAATCACTACAAACAGAATGTTTTGTCTTTTAAACTTTTCGAAGCTCACACTAAAATCACAACCAGCTTCCGTTGTCTTTCTCTAATACAGCTGCTGCGTCCATACGACCCATGACCCTCAGGATGTTCATCAGGTCGGTGACTGCGGTGTCCTCTCTGTGTCTCGCCTCCCATAGGTCCAGGATGTGCTCCGTGGGGGAGGATTTGGTTGCGAAGAAATTGATATATCTGTGGGATGGTAAGAAGAGGATTTCATACTAAATGGGAAATTTTATTGTATTTAAAGACACTGAAAGTAGTTTTATAACATCGTACAAAAAAAATTGTGTAAAAATTGTAATATTTTTTTAATGTACTAAAACACAAGTTTATAAGCATAAGGTTATTGAATATGTTGGGAAATATTAAATGGGAATGGTTTTTATTTTTGTTTTAAGACAGTGAATGTCTTTCTATAACATCATAGAAAAAAAAATTTGTAAAAATTTTAATAGTTTTTTAGTGTGCTAAAACACAACAGTTTGTAAGCATGGTTATTGAAGATGTTGGGAAATACTAAATGGGAATGGTTTTTATTTTTGTTTTAAGACAGTGAATGTCTTTCTATAACATCATAAAAAAAATGAAAATTAAAAGTTAATTTTTAGTATACTGAAACAGTTTAGAAGCGTGGTTATTGAATATGTTGGGAAATAATTTAAATAAAAAAAGAAATTTAAACCAATATAAAATAATATTTTTGGTTAACTAATTAAAAAAAAACAACAACCAAAAAACCCACTCCTATAATATTTGGTATCCCTAAAAAGGCAATTTGGTGATTCTTTATAAGATAAATAACCAGTACAAAGAGATTTGAAAATTTTGGGGAAAAAAAAATTGAACTCATCAAAGAGCTAATAACCAAAACAAATTAGCAGAGAAATAATTTTGAACCAACCTGTCTACTGTGAGTGCCTGGGCTAACATTCTCCAATCATTTCCCCTGGCATTTGGTGGATCCAGTAACATACACAGCTGGGCTTTTATATGGGAAGGTAACCTGTTCAAAGTTAGACAACTCTGCTTTATTTACCACACTCAGGGGTGAGTTGTTGCTCTGCTTGTTGGGTGGTAAGTGGCTGTTAGATGTTTGTATTATGTTTGATGGTTGTCTGATGAGGGATGGGAACAATTGTTGGATGTTTACTTTATGTTGGATGATGGTGATGGTCAGTGGTTGGAGGAATAAAACAGTTTGTCAACAACATGTCAAGAATATGTAAATATGTGATTATTGATTAAAACTTTACAGGTTTTTACTATGTGTGTAGGTGATATGTGGAGAATTTTATAAACATTATTTATAAAACATGTTTACATGAAATTGTAGACTAATGAAAATGTTTCTTGATTCCATATAGAAAACACATGAAATCTGTCAGTTTTCACAATTTAATGTGCATTGTTGTATTTTATGTACATTATGTACACTGGTATGGTCCTCATGAAAGAGGTGTATATTAAACATAATGATATGGTCTGTGTACATTAAACATATTGTTATGGACCAAGTAAATGTTGAACACTATCTTATGGTCCACATGTAAATGGTGTTTTGTGTCATGTATGTGGTGTATGTCATTATAGCCCACATAAATTTGCTCCACTATCTTATGGTCCACATGTAAGTGGTAAATGTTGTTACAGCCACCATGAATGTGGTCCACTATCTTATGGTCTACATATAAGTATTGTATAGTGTGGACCACTATTTTTTGGTCCATAAGAGACAAGCCTTACCTAAAGACCTGCGCGGATGGGTCTAGTGTGACCATTGAATGAAACCCTGAACTGACAGAAGAGGCAGCTGTATTCACTGTGGACGACCTTTGCTTCAACGTGTTGTTTGATCCTGGGCAGCTTGGTGTACCCTACAAGACAAAAGTTTGAGAATGGCTCATTCAATGGTGGGAGTAAAGATGATATTTTTTAAAATCATTTTTCATAACACAGAAAATTGTGATGGAAGTAAAAGCCTAATTTTTTAAAATCTTTAGGCCTAAGCACCTTTCTGTAGTCCAAACTTTGTAGCTAACTGTAGGCCTGCATGTTTGATTGTAAAGCTATCTGAGCCTACTACTATAGGTCTACAAGTATAATGAATACAGCTGGACCTTTATCTATCCTACCCAACAACATAGCTGATAAACAATCAGTCTTTGTATTCATTCTCTCCCCTTCCACTTAAGAATGAATAAATACAGTTTAAAAGGGAGGCAAACAGAAAAAAAATTGTTTCCCATGACATAAGAGAAAAAGAAAACCAACACTGCTTGTTTTTTATTATGAGTTCCTCCCCTTAGATCTAATTTCTATAAAATATTCTTTGTGGTGATATCTCATTCATGTGCATACCATTCTTTCTTTTTTTTATAACAAAGATATTCTTAAATTTTCTAATCAAATTATATTTTTTTGAAAATAAAATTGACAAATGCATGTCATATTTCTATGCTAGCAGTAAAAAAAATTAGAGGCCTTTTCATCTAACAGGAAGGAAGCAGGAAAGGTAAGAACTGAAAGATAAACAAAAACCCCAGTCCAATGTGAAAACAATGAAATCAATGCAGGTCATATTTCTGTGGGTGAATGTCAGAAAGTTCCAACAAAGCCACAGGCTGGTACCTGGTACCTGGATAGGCTGGGAGTTGATAGCAGCTTTAGGATAGGGTTGGGGGAATGAGGTAAACATTTCATGGGGGGGGGGGGGGGGTGATGGGGGAGCTGCAGTAAAGGGGTATGGGAGTTTAGGAGGTGGGACTGGGGAAGAGGGGCTGAAGTAGGGAGTATAGGGATAGTAATAGGAAGGGGGTGGGGAGGCTGTCTTAAGGAGGGATGCACTGCAGTAGTGGGAGGAACTGGAGTATGTTGTAGAGAGGAGGTGATGGGGGGAGTTGTATGGAGGTGATGGGGAGGGGAAGTTGTAGTATTAAGGTGATAGGGAGGGGGGAGTTGTAGTATTGAGGTGATAGGTGGGGGGAAGTTGTAGTATTGAGGTGATGGGGGGATTGTAGAATGCAGGTGATCGGATGGGTGGTGTAGTATGGAGATGATGGGGAGGGGGGGGGGGAAGTTAAATTTGCAGTATTGAGAAGGAGGATGTCTAGATGATAATATAGGTTTTAATTCCACCAAAAGAAAAATGTAAGCTAGGATGATTTCTTGTAGGCAGGACAGATATAGGCCAGCTATCAGGAAATGGATGAAAGGATTATGCCCATGGTTAAAGTGGAAAAAAAAAACTTAAGCCAGGAGAAAACAGGAAGAGAGGGGATAAATGTCAGTCCCGCAGAAACAGGTAAATGTTTAAGCTGGTTGGAAATTAAAATCTTGTGTTAGAAGAGAAAACAGGAGAAAAAAACTTCAGGTTAGGCTGTAATGTGTAGAGGTTTGGAGCTATACATTTTTTAAAGCATAGCAAAGTGAAGCTTAAAGGAAATATTTGAACAGTTTTCAGAAAAAGAACTCTTTTTATTTTGTAGTTTTTCTATTCTTTATTAATAAAGTGATTATTTGATAAATATAATTTTGTTAGTGTTGTAGTAGAGCAGTGGGGAGGGGGGGGGGGGGAAGTGGCTAATGAAGTGAAATATGTACCCAATTAACACAAAGGATCAAGTGCTCACAATGTTTAAAATTGTGCACAATCGCTGCCTGTGTTGGCATGAGCTATCAAATATCTAGCAACGTACAGAGACAGAGGAAAACAAATTAAGATCTGCATCTGACAAACGTAAACATTCTTTGGCAGGATGCTGGCTGGGGAAGTGGAACAAAAAAAAAATAGAAAATAAAACACTGGTTTTAATGCCGAATTTAATTCAAATACTGAAGCCGACAACCCATTCTAAAACAGTTCTGCAAATTATTTTTTTTTAAATTACTGAAATAAATTTTCGTGAATGGTATTTTATGGTAACATAAACAATCTTTCTAATAGGGGGCGCTACACCCAACACAGGGGGTCCCACTACAGCAATCACCTGCGATGCTTTTATCTCAAGATAAAGATAAAAATTAAAACCTGAACTATCACGGCACTTAAGATAAGAGTTTCTGATGGAGGATTTCATTATGAGGAACTGAACAAGTGGCTCTCAATTGATAGATAAATAGATAATGAGTTGCGGAGGGAGGGGGTCATTAACTCCCTATCCTCTTATCTACTAGATGTTTGGTCGATGAAAAAGTCGATGAAAAAACTCAGCTTTACCTCCTTAAGATTGCAGTTGATGAGTAGAGTTTGTCTATTGCTGAGGATGGCTTTCTGATAAACTTGGATCTTGCAGGCAATTTTGGCCACTGACCGGTCTAGGAGTTCCAGACTAAAAGAACAGTGCAGGTTGTTCTGATTCCCACTCCAAATATGGCGGAAAGGAATCTCCTGAAAATGTTATGGAGAGTTTAAAAATGATTCATAAAAAAATAATATTTTTTAAAGTTTTAAAAAATATTTTCAAATTAATATTAAATCTTATATTTTAATACCACCCATTGATAAATTGTAATGATGCAATATCTGAGATTGTAATTTTAACAGTAATACATTTATAATGTTAACCCTTCTAAGGTCTAAAGCTAACATTTTTATCTCTGTAATGTTAACCAAAACAGTTCCCAGGTTTAAATGCTCCAAAAATAGTTCTGGGTGAGAAGAGCTGAGAGAGTTAATACCTGATAGTTGGCAGCTAATTTGCTCCTCCAACCAGTGGAGAGTTCCTCTATTGTCAGGCACAAGTTATTACCGCCATCTTGGAATGGAATTTGTTTGGGTTTGTCTAGAAGTTTCCCACCTAGTTTTCTTTCAACTTGAATAACACCCTGAACAAAATTTATGAATAACACCCTGAACAAAATTTATGAATAACACCCTGAACAAAATTTATGAATAATTAAAGTAAAAAACATTTTCATTTTATAAACGAAACAATAAAACACATTTTGAGAGTTTTAACACAATTTAAACAATCAATTAACTAAAGAATTTTTGGAAAAATCCCTTTACAAAACCTATTTGCTTGGTAAGTTATGGAAAATAATTGAAGCAACTATAGGCTATATTTTAAAAAATATATTAGCCTAGTCATATTATTTGACAATATTTTTAATATATTTTATTTTTCAAATTAAAAGAACATCATGATTTAAAAGGCATTTTATTTAATAAATATAGTAATGAATATATGCAGACAGTGAATATGGATGGATATGTATAAAAGTAGGCTTTAACTTACATCTAAAGCATCAATGGTGTCTTCAACCACATACACACGGATGCTGTAATCCATGGATGGGGGCATGGCAGGGGCGAACGCTGCCAGCCTGTAGATTTTGAGGGCACGGCCACCAGGCACTGATTCTCCGATGAGTGTGTAGCGGTTGAGGAACTCGGTCATGACGTGACACTGGTTGGGGTCTAGCTGTGTGTAGATAGGTGAGTTAATATTTTCATGGCCTAACACGACGACCCGCTGAAAGGAGATTTGTTGCCAGTTTTTAATTTCTCTGCTTTTGATTTAGTTTTGGTTAGTACTTTGGTTAGTGTTATTAGCTTAAGTTAGTTTTTCTGGTTTATATTTTAGTATATTTTAAATAGTAAATAAATTAGTATCTTTTAAATTGTAAATTAATTAGTATCTAAAATACTTTACAGTTAGTTTGTTAGCATCTTTAAACTGATGTTACAAGGTTTAATTTTTTTTCAAACATTAACAATGATGTTTCTAGTTCATGCGCTATGATAAGTAGGCCTATAACACATGCCATAACAACTTCTATATTTTTGCAATTAATTTTCAAACTTAAAAAAAACAACAAAGCAAATGTTTAAAATAAATTTAAAAGTGTTTTAACACTTTTAAAGTTCAAATCAGACAATTACTTAGTTGTTTTTTTAAGGCCTGAGCTATGCTTTCTGTGATTAGACTAGCAAAACTTATATGAAGTGACTTACTCTCCAGTACGGTGGCTCGTCTATCGGAGACTCACTCTTGTACACCGACAGCACCCACCCACCCTGGCGCATGTTGGCGCAGTGCTGGAAGGACAGGATGACTGGCTTCTGTAGCTGGACACTGGGCGGCCCCACCAGAATTACTGGACTTAGTATTGTCTGATGCTCTGTAAAAAGAGATTCAATTCAAACATTGCAAGTGTCGGCATAGCTTGTCTTTAGCAAGCCTAACTGTTAAGTCAAATTAATGCCTATTTTCAAAACAGCAATGTTTCAGCAGTGTGGCCTAGCAGTAGTGCTAGATTGCTAACCCAAAAGTCTTGAGTTCGAATCCGGGTTCAAATCAGAATAATGCTTGTGAGTATACCCAGCTGTGATGGGTACCTAACTCACATTAGTGAAACTAAAGGCGCATGGGAATAATGCTGACCACACTATCCCTTCATGTGCAGTGGTCAAGAAACATATGAACTCTACTTCATCTGCCCAATGGATCGATAGGTCTAAAGAGGAATATTTAATTTTGACTTTAATGCTTACTTAATTAAACAGAATAAAGAATATTGGGTTTAGCTATGTTTTTTTTATAAGTAATCTGTTATGCAGATATATGGTTTATAATGAAAATTTATAAAAAAAAAAATATCAGAATTTCTCATCTTATTCTGTAAAATAGACAAAAATTTTCCATGAAAAAAATAAAATAAAATGAATTTAGCAAAATAAACAAAATAATGTGTAAAATAACTCTCATCAATTTGAATTATATTCCATGGCAGTGAAGGTGCGTTATTTATTTCCTATCTGACATTCCCGAAGATAAATCTGAAAGATGACTCTGGCAAACAAGTTAAGTTAAATGAATAGGTCCGCCCCTCACCTGTCAATCTGGGCCTGTCCTTATCATCCCGGCACACTGCCATGTACAGCTCCTCCACGTGGCCTTTCTTAATGGCGCCTTCAGGAACTGTTAGCATTACACCTGGAATTTATGACACATTTTAATTTCAGCACTTGGGTGTAGGGGCTTCAGCACTGCGGAGCACTTAGGTGATAATGTCTTATAGCTGCAGCCAACTATATGATAATATCTTAGACTGGCATATAGCTGCAGCCAACTAGATGTCTTAGACTGGCATATAGCTGCAGCCAACTAGATATCTTAGACTGGCATATAGCTGCAGCCAACTAGATATCTTAGACTGGCATATAGCTGCAGCCAACTAGATGTCTTAGACTGGCATATAGCTGCAGCCAACTATATGATGTCTTAGACTGGCACATAGCTGCAGTTAAGTAGTTGATAATGTCTTAGACTGTGAAATAGATGCAGCCAACTTAAGTCTTAGACTGGCATATAGCTGCATGTGGCTAACTGCAGTCTGCATTCTATTGATTGTTTTAATCCACTTGTATTTGTCTTCACAGGGTTTTTAAGGTAGATGCTTTGTATTTGTTTATGTTAGGCTAGATAAGAAATGTTTATTGTTTAGGGGAGTCTAGATAGAAATTAGCAACGTAATGAAACAAACCATAGAAAGACAATTATTTTAAAATATATGCAGAGTTTCTTCCAGGCATCTCTTCCCCCGAATTTTTTTTTACTGCCCCCCCCCCCCCGAACGAAATGAAATTTATATAATTTATATAGAAAATATATACTTTTAACAGTGTCCGCCCCCCCCTCCCCCCGAAGAAAGTCTACCGCCCCCCCCCCCCCCCCGAAAATTTCTAGTGCCACCCCCCCCCCCCCCCCCCCCCCCCCGGGAAAAAAGTCTGGAAGAAACACTGAATATATGTGGTGTGGCTGAAAGGGTATGAATAGGGTATATTCATAAGGTATATTAAAAATAAATTGTGTGTGTGTGGGGGGGGGGGGGGGTCATACAGTATATCTAGAATTGTATAGCCCTGTATGCCCTAAGTTCTAGACTCCATATCATCACACCTGATACAGGTCTAGACCCACCTGACACCCCTATGTTTTTTTTTTCATTTCTTTTCCACGACCCACTAACGATAACTTTATTTATAGTGTGTCTTTCAGTTTCAGACTTGATAAATGCGCTCAGATACCGTCAAACGAAAAAAGGTGGGAGGGGGGGGGGGGGGCAATTTCAATTTATAGACATTAAGTATATTTTTTAACCCCATCCATTTTGACAGGCCAACCCGGCACAGTAAATAATACAGAACAGCTGTTGGTTGTTCGCGGGGGACTTCTCTTGTATTCGTGCTGCAAGTTTACATTGGCCGAGGCCAAACGGGATCTTCACGTGCCAGGAAACAGTTGCGTCTTCTCACCAATCCGATTTTAAACTGAAGAACGCAGTCTCGTTGAATCCACTTCTACCTTCCATTTATTTAGATAGTTTCGTGTATTTATCTTAATGTTTTTTTTTTTTAAAAGAAGAAGAAGAGCTTCCTGTCTTGCATTTTCTCTTTCACGCGTTAAGTGTGCAACTTCCCGCCAAAAATCACCTCGTTAAATTAGTTCCTTTTATATTTGATTCAATTTGTTAAAGACTATTATGCTTAAGTGCTCACCACTTTACTATAAGTGTGTGTGTGTGTGTGTTTGTGTGAGTATATACATATATATATATATATATATATATATATATATATATATATATATATATATATATATATATATATATATATATATATATATGTATATATATATATATATGTATATATATATATATACATATATATATATACATATATAACGCATACATGTATACTGACGAGACTGTAAAAACGTAATTGGGCCAAGCAAGTTTGTGAGTACTTCTCAACTACTCAACAGAAGGTACGATTGCGTGATACGGTGTAGTGTGGTGTACAATGGTGGTGTGGCGAGGTGGTGTGGTGTTGCAGATTGTTGTAGAAAGTTCTGGATTTTACCACGGTAGCAAGCGGCAGCACAAAGGGGTTGTGTGGGGAGGGGCGGGTGGGGAGGGGCGGTCGGGGAGGGGCGGGTGGACGGGAGAGATTTTAAAATTAAAATTAATGACTTTTTCTTATTTGGGGATGGAATAAAATGCTTTTGGGGGTCATGGGGAGGAAGGGGTATGGCGTGGTTTCAAAGCGTTAGCTCCCTTTGTGAAATAAATGGATGTAATTAGCGGTTGATTATAACTGGGAGAGGGGGGTGGAGGGCTAACTCGTGGTGGGGGGGGGGGGGGGTCGAGGGCTAACCCGTGAGGAAAAAAACAACAGCAAAACGAGAAATGCTCTTGTGAATCTCATCCAATAGAGAATAATACAATCGAGGGAATATTGTGTGTCAAACAAAAATTAAGGAATAATATATGACATTACTGCTGATATCTCAAAAATTAAGGAATAATATATGACATAACTGCTGATATCTCAAAAATTAAGGAATAACATATGACATAACTGCTGATATCTCAAAAATTAAGGAATAATATATGACATTACTGCTGATATCTAGGGGAGGGGGTGATAATGCCAGAAATAAATCTAAACGTGATACACAGTTGGGGGGGGGGGGGGTTCAAATTGTGTAGGGTGAACATCTGGATAACTCATCTTTAGTCAGTTCTATTTTTAGAATAAACGTGCATGATGTACAGTTTAGTCGAGTCAATAAATGACACAATAACTAATTAAGTCCATGTAGGCCTAGTAATGCAAGTTGGCCGGTTTTTGTGTTTGAATGTTCACGTGTTTGGTCTGAAAATCTAATGGCTGCATCCCTCTGTCTTTTGGTTAACACAATTGTGCGTCGATTATGCGATTAAATTTTAAATAAATATAATGGGGAAGGACTTTTAACGGCGCGGTGGGACGATAGAGCCCACAACTTCTAAACCAAAAGTCTAGAGTTCGGATCCCGTGCTTGAGTTCGTAGGACTTCCCCCGAGTCCATCCAGCTCTGACATTGGGAGAAAGTAAATGCTGGACATAGTTCTGACCACACTATCTCTTCATATACAGTGGTCACAGAAACAGGTAAACTCTACTTCATCTACCCTATGGATAGACATACGAAATGATAACTTAGTGACTGCTGGCACTAGATCTAGAACTAGAAATAAATAATTTTTTTTAAATTTAGATCTAAATAGTGGCAGATAATGGATAGTTTATTTGGCGCACACAGCAGGGTCTAACCTTTGGCCCTACCCAAGAAACGATGACGTCAGAAAACAAAACAAAAATAGATCGAGGGACAGGCAACAGGGCCTGCTTGAGATTGTATCTCACAGCGTAGAATCAAAAGCTCGTTAAAATGATCAGGGAATAGCAGAGATAAAACGGTGCGTTGAACGCTGTGGGCCAATTGTTATTATAAGTGCAGGGGGGGGGGGGGACGACGACGACGGGACGACCTCATACATTCGGGAGGGGATTCACATTCAAGCGCAATTTTTATGTTTCAGTTTTTGCATTTTTTAAATCCAAGTTTTATGTTAAATTAAAACACTGTCCAAATTTGATTGTTTCCTGATTTAAGATTCCCGTGATCTCAAACAGTTAACGGTATGAATAAAGAGTTTTATAACCTCAAATATTACAGGGTCTGACTTAAGGGCCATATGATTATGGCCTCAAATATTTAAGGATCTCGGTTAAGAGTCATATGACCTCAAATATTAAAGATCTCACTGGTCACATGACTTCAAATATTTGAGAACCCTCGTTGTTTTTTTTTAATTATTTTTTAAATTCTCGAACACGTGTGTGGTTGAGGATGGTGCACTAAAATAACACTCATTAAAAACCAGGACCTAATTGACACACAAATGACACACCCGTGTCGTTTGATCGCGATTTCACCGGGAGGGAGGATTATGGGCCCTGGCCCGTCTTCTTCTTGCTGGTTCTTTCCGAACATAAACAGGGATTACCTGCAAACAGGGATTACCTGCAAAGTGGCAGGCGCAGACGTTCTGCACCTGTGTACCCAGCGTGCCCCGGGGCTTAAGAGATGAACGGAGGGGTTCGACTTCAAGAAACACTTGCGTTATCGAAACGACAAGCGTTCATGTATCTATACAGTTTCACGTTCACGACTTTTACCGAAAGCTAAGAACATAATCGAAAAGCTACGTAATGGTTTTAAAGGTTTTTTTTAGCACCGGCTAATTTTTTACTTCAATTATAGCTTTTTTAGAAAAAAAAACTTGGCTAATGGTACAAAAATATATAAGGACGTGGAGATTATGTAACCGTATGATGTAACTTGTGTTGTAACCTGTAAACTAATGGTGTTATGTAACCGTGGTATTTTGATCATGTTGTGTAACCGGGCTATGTAACTGTAACCGTTTTATGTAGCGTGTACTGTAATGTGAGCGTGTCGTGTAAGCGGTTCATGTAAGCATGTTATGTAACCAATACAGCCCAACTGCCCGTGTTTTGACAATGCTATTTTCTAAAACCCACGGCGAAAAACTTGGATAAAATGCGTGTTTGGTTTGCTGTAATGTAAACAATGTGACTAAACACGTACATGTAAACAATGTGACTAAACACGTACATGTAAACAATGTGACTAAACACGTACATGTAAACAATGGGACTAAACACGTACATGTAAACAATGGGACTAAACACGTACATGTAAACAATGGGACTAAACACGTACATGTAAACAATGTGACTAAACACGTACATGTAAACAATGTGACTAAACACGTACATGTAAACAATGGGACTAAACACGTACATGTAAACAATGGGACTAAACACGTACATGTAAACAATGGGACTAAACACGTACATGTAAACAATGTGACTAAACACGTACATGTAAACAATGGGACTAAACACGTACATGTAAACAATGGGACTAAACACGTACATGTAAACAATGGGACTAAACACGTACATGTAAACAATGGGACTAAACACGTACATGTAAACAATGGGACTAAACACGTACATGTAAACAATGAGACTAAACACGTACATGTAAACAATGTGACGAAACACGTACATGTAAACAATGGGACTAAACTCGTACATGTAAACAATGAGACTAAACACGTACATGTAAACAATGAGACTAAACACGTACATGTAAACAATGTGACTAAACACGTACATGTAAACAATGTGACTAAATATAGAACTAACGTGTGACCTCACCTGACTCAGGTAAGATCAACCTCCCTCCCGTGTGAGTAAACGTGCTCCACGTGACCGCCTCCGTGTCGACGTTGCCAGGCAACTGTACCGAGATGACCGACTGTCTGCTGTCCTGCAGGCTGTCACACTGGGACAGGGGTCGGCTGTCACACGAGGAGGGGGGAGGGGGTGGCAGCCCGCTCTTATTGTCTTTCATCTTCTCCACGGTGGTGTTCAAATTGTGGTTGATGGTCGGCTCCACCATCACCGTCTTGTTGCTGGGACCTTGGCTGAGGTTCCCTGAGTGTCTTTGGGGGATCCCTGGTGGAACCATGGCTACGGATTTATCGGGGAAAAACTGTTGCGTGGCTGTTGAGGAGTAAGGGGTGGGCCCGGATGAGTAAGATTGTGGGCTCTGGGGTTGGTACATGGGTTGGCTGATGGGTGAGTAGGGTCGGTTGTTGGCCAAGTACTGGGTGTCCGGCACGCTGTACTGACCCACGTCCATGCCGGACTGGGGGTAGATGTTGGGCAGTTCCGGCACACTGTAGGAGGGCGAGCTGTCGTGTAGGAACTCGGGGCTGACCCCGCCGCCGTAGGGGATCTTGTCCATGGAGTTGACGTGGTTGTTGTTGGGCGAGTCGTTGGAGCTCTGGCTGTGGTTGTAGGTCTGGTTGCTGTGGTTGTGGTGGTGGTGGTTGTTGTGCTGGACCGTCACGACGACCGTCTGGGTCAGGTCTGGTGGTACTGACAACATGTCTGTGGAACGATGGAAATAAAGGAAATAGAAATTGTGTAGGACGTATAAGGAATGGGCAAAAACAAAGGAAATAGAAATTGTGTTGGGCGTATAAGGAATGGGTAAAAACAAAGGAAATAGAAATTGTGTTGGGCGTATAAGGAATGGGTAAAAACAAAGGAAATAGAAATTGTGTTGGGCGTATAAGGAATGGGTAAAAACAAAGGAAATAGAAATTGTGTAGGGCGTATAAGGAATGGGCAAAAACAAAGGAAATAGAAATTGTGTTGGGCGTATAAGGAATGGGTAAAAACAAAGGAAATAGAAATTGTGTAGGGCGTATAAGGAATGGGCAAAAACAAAGGAAATAGAAATTGTGTAGGGCGTATAAGGAATGGAGAAAAACAAAGGAAATAGAAATTGTGTTGGGCGTATAAGGAATGGGCAAAAACAAAGGAAATAGAAATTGTGTTGGGCGTATAAGGAATGGGTAAAAACAAAGGAAATAGAAATTGTGTTGGGCGTATAAGGAATGGGTAAAAACAAAGGAAATAGAAATTGTGTTGGGCGTGTAAGGAATGGAGAAAAACAAAGGAAATAGAAATTGTGTTGGGCGTATAAGGAATGGGCAAAAACAATAGAAATAGAAATTGTGTTGGGCGTATAAGGAATGGAGAAAAACAAAGGAAATAGAAATTGTGTAGGGCGTATAAGGAATGGAGAAAAACAAAGGAAATAGAAATTGTGTAGGGCGTATAAGGAATGGAGAAAAACAAAGGAAATAGAAATTGTGTTGGGCGTATAAGGAATGGAGAAAAACAAAGGAAATAGAAATTGTGTAGGGCGTATAAGGAATGGAGAAAAACAAAGGAAATAGAAATTGTGTTGGGCGTATAAGGAATGGGCAAAAACAAAGGAAATAGAAATTGTGTAGGGCGTATAAGGAATGGAGAAAAACAAAGGAAATAGAAATTGTGTTGGGCGTATAAGGAATGGAGAAAAACAAAGGAAATAGAAATTGTGTAGGGCGTATAAGGAATGGAGAAAAACAAAGGAAATAGAAATTGTGTAGGGCGTATAAGGAATGGAGAAAAACAAAGGGAATAGAAATTGTGTTGGGCGTATAAGGAATGGGCAAAAACAAAGGAAATAGAAATTGTGTTGGGCGTATAAGGAATGGGCAAAAACAAAGGAAATAGAAATTGTGTTGGGCGTATAAGGAATGGAGAAAAACAAAGGAAATAGAAATTGTGTAGGGCGTATAAGGAATGGAGAAAAACAAAGGAAATAGAAATTGTGTTGGGCGTATAAGGAATGGGTAAAAACAAAGGAAATAGAAATTGTGTAGGGCGTATAAGGAATGGGCAAAAACAAAGGAAATAGAAATTGTGTAGGGCGTATAAGGAATGGAGAAAAACAAAGGAAATAGAAATTGTGTAGGGCGTATAAGGAATGGAGAAAAACAAAGGAAATAGAAATTGTGTTGGGCGTATAAGGAATGGAGAAAAACAAAGGAAATAGAAATTGTGTAGGGCGTATAAGGAATGGAGAAAAACAAAGGAAATAGAAATTGTGTTGGGCGTATATAAGGAATGGGTAAAAACAAAGGAAATAGAAATTGTGTTGGGCGTATAAGGAATGGGCAAAAACAAAGGAAATAGAAATTGTGTAGGGCGTATAAGGAATGGAGAAAAACAAAGGAAATAGAAATTGTGTTGGGCGTATAAGGAATGGAGAAAAACAAAGGAAATAGAAATTGTGTAGGGCGTATAAGGAATGGAGAAAAACAAAGGAAATAGAAATTGTGTAGGGCGTATAAGGAATGGAGAAAAACAAAGGAAATAGAAATTGTGTTGGGCGTATAAGGAATGGAGAAAAACAAAGGAAATAGAAATTGTGTTGGGCGTATAAGGAATGGGCAAAAACAAAGGAAATAGAAATTGTGTAGGGCGTATAAGGAATGGAGAAAAACAAAGGAAATAGAAATTGTGTAGGGCGTATAAGGAATGGAGAAAAACAAAGGAAATAGAAATTGTGTAGGGCGTATAAGGAATGGAGAAAAACAAAGGAAATAGAAATTGTGTTGGGCGTATAAGGAATGGAGAAAAACAAAGGAAATAGAAATTGTGTTGGGCGTATAAGGAATGGAGAAAAACAAAGGAAATAGAAATTGTGTAGGGCGTATAAAGAGTGGAGGGGAAAAAAGGAAATAGAAATTGTGTTTATTTGTATCCCAACCGTATCCATATAGTTCAAAATATATTTTCTTCTCCCTCTCCTTTTATTATCAATTTTTGAGAGTCATTCACGCACTACTAAAAGTTCAACTAAAAACAATAGGAAATGGGAGAACATTTTCTACCGCTGACAAAACTCAGGCTACAGGGCCATGGGCTAAAGTAAAGAGAATGGCGCAAAACAGAGTTAGGATGAGAATTGTGGGCTGCAGCCCTTTGCTCTTTATGGGCTTTAGGGAATGAGTCAAGTTGATGCTAGAATTGCCTGTCACAACTAACGTTATGTCTCTACTATGATGGACGTTGTTTTTTTTTCTTCTGGTGTGTCAGCAAGTTCTACGGCAGCAGTTCTGTCTCAGAGCCAAAACACTGTACATATATGAATAAGTTTATGCGAGCCGACATATCTAGACTGAGATGGTCATATTCCACTCTCTCGTGTATGTTTGACCATCTGACTAGGTTGAAAGCGAGGCCCATGACAGTTATGTCAACATCACAGACAGCACTGTCAAACAGAGGGCGCTATTTTCATTCGGGTTCCACAATACGGTATCAGATTTAAAAAAAAAAATATTGAAATAAACTTTGCCCATAAATAGATACACGCAAACACGTATGATTGTGAAGTGAAGAAAATTGATTTAATTTAATTTTCAAATTGCTGTGGTTCAAAGCCTGAACCAGCGGGCTATATTCCCCGTGTGTGATCTATATAACTCACACAACGGTAATCAAGTTGTAAACATTGATCTTCTGCTCAAAAGTTACCAATTACCTTCACGTGTAAACTGAAGTACAGACAATTTATCAACGTGTTTCCCATCGTGTACCGCGCTGAAAACGCGCAGCTACCGGTGATGGCGGACTGTTGAGTCACGCCACGATGAAGAGAGAAAAAGGCAATTTTCTTGCCTCATTGGCTGACGACGACATAAAAAGGAGGGGAGATAAATTGTCGTCATTTCCTCGAGACAGGCTGGTATGAGCGGGGGTAGGAATCAATTCTTTTAACTCCCTTTATTTTTCTCTCTTTCGTTTAACACTTCGGGTTTTCTTTTCTCATGCGACAAACAGCCGGACGTTAAAAAAAAACATTGATAGGGAAACAAATGCGAAAAAACTTTGCGATTAATTCCAATACACATTTTTCATGCCCGGCTCTAGCTAATATTTGCACACATTGCGTAAAAGGAGGGCGGCGAGAGGAAGGGGGGAGGGGAAGCACCCGTCACGTGAGCGCCCATTCTAGTTCCGGTTTTCACTATGAAACCCCCCCCCCCCCACCCACCCACCCACCCGCCATTATTTTATTTTTAATGGTTCTGAATTTCAACGTTTCAACTCTGAACTCGACGTAATCTAGATTAATCTGCGCACAATGAAATTAAACAAAGCCGTTCCGCAATTTGGGGGCACTGCTATCTTAAACCGGTCATCGACAAAATAGATTTGTGATCGGGTATGGGAAGACAGGGGGAAGGGAGGGGTGAGTGACCGGGGAGGGGACAAGCCGTGCAACAAGAGAGGGGTAGGGGCAGATTTTGGCGTCCACGGGTAGAACTGTACTATGTTTAGAAGGCATCGATATATATATAATTCATTTTACATTCTCATTGCAAGTATCTCTCTGTTTATATCTTTATATGTATTATATATATATATATATATATATATATATATATATGTGTGTGTGTGTGTGCGTGTATGTATGTATATATGCCGATGTCAAATTCCAAATCCCCTTACACTTGGATCACGGGTTCCACATGTCGACCCCCACGGGTCGCGTAGGTCTTTCACGGGGTCACCAACTTGTAGACTAATCCAAACGGAACTATACTTTTGTAATCGGGCTGGTAAGTAGGTCACCAACCAGTTCTACGGCTCAATAAAACCTGCATGAGCCATAGAACTGCTTGGTGACCTACTTACCAGCCCTATTCTATAGGTGTCTTTGCTCACTTGGTGTTTTTTTTTTTTAAATGGGCCGCCACTCGCATAAGTTTGGGAACCTGTGACTTAGACCATCTACCTAATGCCGCGTCTTGTCACAAAAAACATGAACACTTTGTTAAAGTGTGGCTAACAGCACCGACCTCCCAAATCATATATTTATAGTTTCCCTCGCTTTAAACATGCGCCAGCCCTGAAATCTCCCTCTGTTGTAAGATTAATGACCTGATTATGCCTGATTTAATGCCCGCCATCGTTCTTCGTTAGCAGCCTGACCCCTTGGAGATCATTCCAGAAACCCTTATGTTTCAAGTGCGCTCAACTTCAAGAGTGGCGGAAATATAAAAAAAAACTAAACCCGAAAACTTTAGTGTAACTCAGGTTTCCGGAAATCGGCGTGATATTCGCTGAGTGAAGTGTGAAAGAGGACGTATTAACATTTGTCTACCTTAAATGTTTTTTTATTGAAAAAAAATATACTTTTTTATTGTTGTTTAATCTTTAAAATGGTTGATTCTGATGAAGAATATTCTTAAGTAAAAAAGACATTTACTGTTTTTCCTCAAAGAGTCCTCTAAAGGCCTAATGTTTCAGTGTCAAAGATCCTCTATTTCATGATAATAAAAAACCACCTTTTAAAGGTGGTTTGTCTGCTCAAAGACGCCTCACCTTACAACTGTAGACCGCAGGCTACGGGCTACCCATATCAGACATGATAAAAGTCTACCGTTACAAAAACGTCACGCTAATCGTTCAGGGTTTTATACGTCGAATGAAAACTTTATAAAGAGCACATTTACATTCGACCCTAAACATACCCCCCCCCCCCCGTAATCTTCGCATGCTCTCACCTTCGCATAAAAACAGTTAAAAATTTCAAACAAATTTAACGCCATTTTAACGGTCGCTGTGACCTCTATCTCACTCTTTACACTTCCATAATCCACTGGGACAGAGGAAATGTTTCTTCTCACTATACCAAAACACCAGACTGTATTCTCTCACTTTTCTATATGAAAACATCAGATGGAACAATATCTCATAGCTCCATGCCAAAACACCGGATTATACAATTTCTCTTAGCTTCAGACTAAAACACCCGATTATACAATTTCTCTTAGCTTCAGACTAAAACACCCGATTATACAATTTCTCTTAGCTTCAGACTAAAACACCCGATTATACAATTTCTCTTAGCTTCAGACTAAAACACCCGATTATACAATTTCTCTTAGCTTCAGACTAAAACACCCGATTATACAATTTCTCTTAGCTTCAGACTAAAACACCCGATTATACAATTTCTCTTAGCTTCAGACTAAAACACCCGATTATACAATTTCTCTTAGCTTCAGACTAAAACACCCGATTATACAATTTCTCTTAGCTTCAGACTAAAACACCCGATTATACAATTTCTCTTAGCTTCAGACTAAAACACCCGATTATACAATTTCTCTTAGCTTCAGACTAAAACACCCTATTATACAATTTCTCTTAGCTTCAGACTAAAACACCCGATTATACAATTTCTCTTAGCTTCAGACTAAAACACCGGATTATACAATTTCTCTTAGCTTCAGACTAAAACACCCGATTATACAATTTCTCATTGCTTGCCTTTAGACAAAACACCCGATTATACAATTTCTCTTAGCTTCAGACTAAAACACCCGATTATACAATTTCTCTTAGCTTCAGACTAAAACACCCGATTATACAATTTCTCTTAGCTTCAGACTAAAACACCCGATTATACAATTTCTCTTAGCTTCAGACTAAAACACCCGATTATACAATTTCTCATTGCTTGCCTTTAGACAAAACACCCGATTATACAATTTCTCTTAGCTTCAGACTAAAACACCCGATTATACAATTTCTCTTAGCTTCAGACTAAAACACCCGATTATACAATTTCTCTTAGCTTCAGACTAAAACACCGGATTATACAATTTCTCTTAGCTTCAGACTAAAACACCCGATTATACAATTTCTCATTGCTTGCCTTTAGACAAAACACCCGATTATACAATTTCTCTTAGCTTCAGACTAAAACACCCGATTATACAATTGTACAATTTCTCACTGCTTCCCTTTAGACCAAAACAGCAGATTGTACAATTGTCCAATTTCTCATTGATTATTCTCATGCGGCTCGTTGACCCCTGGATAGGATGCGCGAGCATGTGATGAATGTGAGGAGAAGATAATCTAGGAGTGACATGGTTAAAAGTCCAAGGAAATGAAATCACTACGCATCTGGATATTTTCCCGTTTTTTTTTTCCCACAGAAAGGAGGGTGATTAAACACTGGAAGGGGTGGGGGGGGGGGGGGGGGGGAAGAATATACATAACATACACGTTCTCGGAAAATAATATGAATTGGGTCGAATTATCTTTAGATCAATTTTTCTTAAAACCAATTTTTTTTTCCAATGTAAAAATGTATAAAAGAATTGATTGATACCCATCGGGGATTTGAACTTAAGGTTATTGTGTTAAAAACAAATTAATTTTTAATACTTTTTCTAAACACCGAAGAAGGTTGGGTGACCAAAGGATGAATCAAGAAATGGAAACGGTGTTAAATAATTGATATCAACCTTCAGCTAAAGTCGTCCAGACCCACGTCCACGATAGTTGTCAGAGGAAGTTAACACTAACATCAACAATTCCTAGTCGTAAAACCTTCCCCATTTCCTGGGTCACTGCTGCTCCGGCGCAACCATCTGCATCAGTCCCCCCTGGGACGGGCAGGGAGGGGCGTGATCTTCTAGGGTCTGACATAACCCAGAGCCGACAGAGCCCTGTGTGCGGCCCGTTTGGCATTTTGAAAAGTCACTCGCGTCTGTGTTCATAATAATTTTAAGTCGCTTGGAGAAAATAAACGGGGGGAAAAATTTGGCTAATAAATTTAAAGGGTTGTATTTGGGATGTTTCATTCCCATGACCCACTTTCTGGTAGGGACCTCGGGGAGTGTCCTGTTCGACCTAGTTTTAAGTTTCGGTCGTCCGTGTGGTGCGAACATCCTAGAGAATCAAATCGTTTACTCGGAGTATTGCAAAGCTAGTTAAACATGTACTTTTGCCTGTGACTTGCTGTATTCTTTTAGTCGAGACAGTCAGCAGATTATTTGGGTTTTGAAGTGAAGTTGAAGCTAGAAAGTGAAGGGTATATTTGAAATCCTGGGGTAAATTCTAGGAAATGGAGGGCATATTTGAAATCCTATCAAGGAAATGGAGGGCATATTTGAAATCCTGAGGTAAAATCTAGGAAATGGAGGGCATATTTGAAATCCTATCAAGGAAATGGAGAGCATATTTGAAATCCTATCAAGGAAATGGAGGGCATATTTGAAATCCTATCTAGGAAGTGGAGGGCACCACGATACACAAACCACCAACTTGAAACTATAGTTTATTTCCATTTACATTGCTGGGCATCTTGAGAGATATTTCACTCGTGGATAAAACATGACTGGTTAGCCGTACCAGAGTTGACTGGGAGTAAAATAATGTTGTCCAACTTCATTTCTTGTTAGGGAACACCAAGGTCAGCACAGGGAACCATACAAGAGAACATCTACGTCATCAGGTCACCACAGGGTACCGTACAAGGGAACACCTACGTCATAAGGTCACAACAGGGAACCGTTCAAGTAACACTTACGTCATAAGGTCACCACAGGGTACCGTACATGAACACCTCCATTACAAAGTAAATCGGGGTAACCATACATGGGAACACGTACATCAGTCGATCACCAAACTATATATTTTTTCTGATCAACCCTTTCGGCAACTATGACACTACATAGATTAAACTAATGTCTACATATGTTTGGTGTAGTTTGGGTTCGAACCTGCCCCTCCTTGACCTTAAGTCAAAGATTTCGTCCCGACATACATCTAGGTGTAAGAGGAAAAAAAAAGCATCAACGAGGGTGGCACTTAAATAAAAACAAAACCGATCTCTGACATAACGACAGACTTACAAGCCATCACCCTATCATTCTTAAGGTAACACACACACACAAACAGCCTCCCCGCACATTAAAGTAAGTCTCCCCCACACACAGACACAGCCCTCACTCATTCATCATTACAGTAAATAAAAACAAAAATCTACATCCTGCACCTATTGGGTGTAGCAGTAAAAAATCTTGTCTAGTGTACGAGACAGCATGCACATTCATTCATTGAGCCAATCACTTACCACTGTTTTTGTGTTTCTTCTCGTCTTCTGTAAGCGACTGTGTGGCGTCTGGGGAAAGAAAGACAAAAAATATATTTCAAGTTTGGCATGCAGATTGAAATGTCAAAATCTTAGTACTACTACTAACAAGAAGAGAGAAATTTCATTCAGAGTTATTTCCTAGTTTATTCTCGATTACTTCCCCTTGTAAATGTTCAATGGGTTATTTTTTTTTTTTCTAAAATTTTTGTTTTTTTGTTTTTTGCTCTCTCTCGATACTCAAATGATGGATGGGCGAGAGGCAGACAACAGTCTTGCCATTATAACCATTATTCATGTGTTTACACCCGGGCTTCGGCATGACAATTTTCCGCCTCATGACCTGCTCGTTACCTTTACTAGTAATTGCCCCGGAATGGAATAAATCTACGGGTCTGTGTTTCACACAGCACTAGGCCTACACAATCTGTGATTCACACTATATATACATATATATATATAATGCGTATGTATGTATATATATATATATATATATATATATATTATATCTACATTATATATTATACATATACATTATATATTATACATATACATTATATATTATACATATATATTCAAATGAATATATTATATATAATGTATAGGCATATATATATATATATATATATATATATATATATATATATATATATATATATATATATATATATACACGTGTGTGTGTATGTATGTGTATACAGGCTGTAATCTGAAGCGTAAAGGTCAAGCATATCTGAAGTTCAAGCATGTAAAGTATTAAACAGTAAGACGGCAACGGAAAATAACGGCACCAACGGAATGCCATACACATACATCATTGGGAAAGAATGAAGTTCAAAGAGTTTTTGTTGTTTAATGAACAGAGAAAGGAGACGTGTTTAGAGCTAATATCTTGGGCCCTGTCTCCCAGTGTTCAGGGGCTAGAGGTTCGTGCTTGGGCTGTGAAACGATCTGTGTCTAAGCGACGATACCGATCTCGCGAGAATTGCTAGCGCCATTTCGGAGGTCTGTGAGAAAGCGAAAAGGTATTTTTGTGGGGGTTGTGTGGAGACAGGGGTACGGGATTTAGAAGCGACCCCTGACGTCTGTGTCGAGGTGACCCCGGTGGATTACTTAAGATGCGGGGGGGGGGGGGGGTTAGGGTCGTGTGAGCAGGATGTGTGGTGTACGGGTCAGCAGTCTGAACTCATCTATCTTCCACAGAACGATGTATTAAATAACGCTTTAATAGATCTTTTAGTTTATTATTTTGTTCTAAAAATGTCATATATATATATATATATATATATATATATATATATATATATATATATATATATATATATATAATACAGAACGATATACTTACCCCGACCTTCTACCATTTTCACTAAACCATATACCATTTCCCACTAAATCACATACCGTTTCCCACTAACCACGTACCATTTCCCACTAAACCACACACCATTTCCCACTAAACCAAATACCATTTCCCACTAACCACGTACCATTTCCCACTAAACCACGTACCAATTCCCACTAAACCACGTACCATCCCCCACAATTCCCACTACGTCAGAACACCAAGACTGAGCCGGTTGTTTACGAGTTGATCAAATTTATGGCGTGTTGTACGAGCCTGTGTGAGTGATCGCGACCAATGAGAGGGCAAATTAGACGGGAGGATGTACCGGCGTTTTTAGTCGGGCAAAAACTAATTAATATAATGGGAGGCAACTAGCGTGGGTTCTGCATGGACTAACTGTTAGGGGAGGGGGGGGGGGAGAGAGTAAGAAATGTTATCTAGAAGACACGAATACTAAAGTTACCGTTCATTAGTTCCGGGGGTGTGGAAGGCCGGACGGGGGTGCGGGGGCGGGGTTAGAAGATAAAAGGTAAGTTGTAAATCAGATTCTGGAATAAAAAAAAAATTTCAAACTTTTTTTTTTCAAGAGTGAGCTGGCACAAGAGCGGGGTGATGCTGAGTTATTTATAGACGCGGAGACTGTGAGTCGGGGACTCAAAGGTAATGCTGAAGGGGTGCGGGTGGTAGGAGGAGGGGGTGGGGGCGCTACACGCGTTCCGTAGAGTGATTAGTTTAGAACTTTAAGAACAAAAATTTCACCTTGCAATGGGAATTTAGAATTAAGTTCAGCAATGTTAGGTAGATCTTTTATAAATTTTGTTCTAAGAAATGCCCAGTATACACATGAATTGAAGCATGTTATTTTGGGAGTGTTAGGTGTGAGGGGGGGGGGGGAAATCCTCGAACAATGACCTTACCCCCTACACAAAAAAAAACCCACCCTTTAATTCTAAAGAAAATATTCATTAATTTTGTTTTTTATTGAGTAAGGAAAATTTATAATACGTTACATTTCTTAAAACATCTATTCCCACAAGTAGCAAGTAGCACTTCGTCACAAAGTCAAGCCCCCCCCCCCCCCCCGTTACCAGATATGTGATGTCATATATGGCCGACCCCCCCCCCCCTCCCCCCCTAAACGACACAAGTTCCCACGACATAATACCCTCCTTTTTACAAAGTGCCTTGCGCAACTATCGTTTTTTAAGGATATTGTATATACTCATGCCCCCTACACCCCCCCTACTCTATACACGCAATAATTATCCCCTCCCCTGAGGCTCCCTTCACTTGCTACATGCAATGTCCACCCCCTTACACACAATATGAACACCATAGTACCAACATTTCAACCACGCCTGACGTCACCAGCCCCCCCCCCCCCCCCCCCGTCCAGTCAGGCCAGTGGCGTTTCTCGGGGCGGGTTCGTATCGAAGGTGACAAGCGGTCTCCGCCTCCCCCAGGAAGTTACCAGCCCGTTAGCCACGTGATCCGTATGCGCCGTGACACGTGAGAGTGAACGCAGGATCTGGCAATAAATGATATGCTACGTCAGGGTTGCCATATAAGCCCACGGCTGGGGTATCCCCGCTCGCCTTCCCCCCAATATCTTTCGGTACGTTTGATAAGTTACTTCTAAATGTGTTTTTTTTTTAAACCTCGTGATTTCGGCCCCCATGTCCAACTCGTGTAAACAGTTTTCAGTAATGTCTTGAGATAGACATTTGTGGTTTCTTGTAATGTACGTGACATGTTTTCTCTACGTTTTGGGGGATATTTATGGATTGGGGGGGGGGGGGGGAGATAGAGTTTTGGAGATATTTATGGGTGGGGGTAAAGATTAGAAACTATATCTTTCAGTATCCCCCCCCCCCATTTCACTCTCACCTAGTCGTCAGTCAAGATATACCTAAGTAAAAAAAAACAACAAACTAATGATGCGGGCATAGATCTATATCATGAGCGAATGATGATGATTTAACATCAAATTTTGCCTTATTACAAGAGTCGATCATTGCTTAAATATTTGATACAGGCGCTGTTATACAAATACAAGTTTTCATATTTTCATACATGCTCAGACTATACATGAGCGTGGCTTAGCGGTAGAGCGACTGCTAATCCGAAAGTCTCGAGTTGGAATCCGGGTCAGTAAGACCTCCCCCGAGACCTCCCAGCTCTGATGGGTACCTAACTCACACTAGGGAAAGTAAACTCTACTTCACTTGCCCCATAGACAGCCAGGTTTGGAAGGGGGAACTTTTACTTTTGCTTCAGACTTTACAATTTTGTCTCTGTGATACAGACTCGGCCTATCTTGACTATTTTGCTATACAGACGAAAACGACCTCGCAATAAGCCCACGCGCTAACTAATCCACGCAAGTCACTGTTTCTCGTGCTGTTTACCTGTTTCCCACGCACGTTTTTCATTGAGCTTTTACTGTTTTACCTGGGATTGCTTAGCTGCACAAAAATAGATTTTTTATACAGTTTACAGTTTTTGTCGTTGTTGATAATATACCTTTGTAATTATTTCTTGCTCGTTATTAATATTATGTTTTTCTTTGTAGTTTTTCAACATAGACGGACTGTTCCTCATTATAGTTGAACTTCCAACGAGTTTTATTTTTTTTCCCACCATATGTAGACTTTTTATCATTATTAACTATCTAACTATGATTTAAAACATAAAAAAAAAGCTATTTAAATTGTTCCTACGTTAAAATTATGCAATAACTTGCATCCCCTAATACCCCCCCCCCCCCCCAAGCTAATACAATACATTTTTTCAACGTTCTTGAGAAGTTCCCATCCCACGTCTGAGAACAATGGCGTATTGTCATCACGCTGGTGATGTCACATGATCTTGGGTGCAGGTGTGCCGACCTTGAAAATGAGACGCCCCGGGGTGTCAAATCCAGCGCCCCGTGGCGTCCCACACCACACCGGAAAGACGCCAGCTGGTATTGATCACAACATCGATCTCCGACTGGATTCAAACACGAAATAAGAGATACGTTTGTAGTAAGTCTTAGATCGGCACGTCGGTACACCAAAAGGATCAAGAGGGTGGTCTGTGGTTCGTGGTGCGCTGAATATATGGCCTGATAATTCAACTCAGGTGAAAATTATAATATTCATTAAGGTAGGAGCTCAGCCATAAAATTTATGCGTTTGATAATTCGCGCTAATTAGCAAGAGCCTGCGTGGAAAAACGGGGCAGATTAAATGCTCAGCGTGTCACGCACTTGAAAAGTTGTCTCCCCTTGCTACTGAACGGACAAGAGGGGAGAGAACCCGAAAACCGATTCATTCCGCGTAAAATGGTTTACTGCCCCGTGGACGGCGGAACAAGGGCGATAACTGAGTGTGGACATAGGTACGGCCAGCGAGAGATGGGTTATCTCCATAATAAGATTTAGTCATGGACGGACGTGAAAGGCTGTTGTTACCGCGGGACTAATGTCTGCTGTCTGATGTATTGACACGCGTCAGTTCGCTCCCCTTGTTCACCAGTAGGTTTTGAATGTTGAGGGTGGGGATGAGTTGTCTAGACGAACAGACGCGTGGCGCGGGGTTTGGGGTTTTTAAAAAAATACTCCCAAAGGGGAAGCATCGGGGATAGGAATGTTGTTTGTTTGAAATCTTATTCAAGTATAATCTTTTTTTTTTTTTTAAAGTAAATTTTCAATTTTTTTTTTTTCGGAAGTTGGGCAACTCTTTAGTTTTATGCCTTTTTAGATAACAGGAAATGTTTACCAGCTGTGGATATGTCGATAGATTATTAGCACTTGTTTTTTTAACCAAATGTGTAAAAAAAAAAATACTATTTCCGTAGCGTTAATTTTAAAAATTTGAGTATTCTATTTGAAATTAACTTAAAGAAATCCGGTCTGGGGCCTCATAACGGAAAAGATATAAGTAATTATAATTCTGACGGTTTCCGTTTGATGGTTAGGATTAGGGTCAGGGTTAGGTTAGTAGTACCACATAAATGAACTTCCAATTGGTTATACTGGGGAAAAAATAACATTGAATAACCTCGCAAATGTTATTATGATCACCGATGTTCCCTGGGCTAAAGCAAACTTCAAACGTTGATAACAGGTTGTTGTTGCCTATACATGTCTATTCATAACCCAGGGCTACTGTACAAGTTGGTCAGGTTTTTAAAGATTTAACAGTTAAAAATTTAACTGTTGTGTACCTTCACCGTTGGTAGCATCAGGTTACCGGGGGGGGGGGGGGGGGGGTGTTAAAGTAGTGACCAGGGCCGACTGTCACGTACAGGGCCCATTGAGCCACACCTTGGTGATCCAACAGCTGTTGTCCCCCCACCCACGGGCAACCTGATTCCCCACCAACATCCCGGGTCACGTTCGTTTTAAAGAGTTCCGGCCCCTGAGTTTAACCGGCAGCCGGCCATTTGGTGCCGTGTTTGCGCATACTGTCATTGTTTGCTAATTGTGATTGTATTCTATTTGACTTCACCCCCCCCCCCCCCATCCCACCCCCTACATAAATAATTATTTATTTAAAGTTTGTTCTGTTTGACTTCACCCCCACCCACCTACGCCCCATCCCCACATAAATGATGATTTGTTTAAAGTTTGTTCTATTTGACATCATCAGCCTCCCCCCCCCCTCCCAATAGATTAAGATCAATTTAAAGTTTGTACCGTTGATGTGAACATCATGAGATTATAGCTAGGAATACGGCTAATGTTAACACTAGATGAAGTCAACTTAACCTTTGATGGGATAGCATAAGTATATTGAACCATGTTCATGTTGTTTCAAAGCTAGACTAATTCATTCAATAGTTCGACATTTTGGCCTTGTTCGGTATTCAATAACAAATTGTATATCACATCGATATTACAGTAGTTAGTTCGTGTGTTTGGGTGAAAACAAACGCCTAGCTATGGTCAATGCCTAGCACTACCAGTATGGTACCCTAAAACGGAACAGTTCCATAAAACTGACCGTTGGTTTATCAAGCTCTGGTGGGGACTAGATTCTAGTTGTGAGCAAGTACGAGAATGCCGACTACGTCAAAACACATGAACTCTACTTCATCTAACTTATGAATCGAAGAGATTTGATGGTGTTTTTTTTTTTTTTCATACAATGTTTTCATCGATTTTCGTATCGTTTTTTTAAAGGTGTTATTTGTTGGTGTGATTGAGCGAATGCAAAACAAACACAAACATGTACATCTTGTAGTATTTCATACAAACACATATGCCCTGTAGTATTGACCACATATGCCCTGTAGTATTGACCACATATGCCCTGTAGTATTGACCACACATATGCCCTGTAGTATTGACCACACATATGCCCTGTAGTATTGACCACACATATGCCCTGTAGTATTGACCACACATATGCCTTGTCGTATTGACCACATATGCCCTCTCACACCACAAACAAGCAGTATCTACCTGGTCCCATGTCTCTGAAGGCGTTCCTCCGTCTGTTGTGCTTGCGGCAGATGATGACGACGATGATGACGATGATGAGGACGACAGCCACGGAGACGCAGACGCCGATGTAAAGGGAGACGTTGTTGTCTTTCTCGGCTGCTGCGGTAGCTGGATGGGAGAATAGAGAGGGAGGAGGATGGGGTTAATGGTGGACAGTTGCTGGATGGTAGAATAGAGAGGGAAGAGGGGTTAGTGGTGGACAGTTGCTGGATGGTAGAATAGAGAGAGGGAGGGGGAGGGTTAATGGTGGACAGTTGCTGGATAGGGAAATAAATGGTTTAAATATGGCCAGAAAAAAAAAATCAGCTCTTTACGAAGTTGTGTTGCCCAGCCGGCAGTTTTAGAAGAAGCAAAATTTCTTAATTGAAATAAGTCTGTGTGTGGGAGTACGGACGTAGAGGGGAGGGGGAACGACGGAGGGGATGCAATTGGGGGGGTTTGTCAGAAACCCGGGGTAACCCAGAGTTTTATCTATATCAGCGCGTGTCGTTAATTAGTTCCTCTTCTACCTTCACCTCCCCTCGTGTGAGTACAGCGTCGTTGATTGGCTCGCAACGCGAGATAAATAACTTGAGTGTGAGAAGGTATTCAGGCTGGCAACCCGGGTGGGCCTTTAGACACAAACAAGCGAGGAATAGTAGCGTGTCGCGTCGAGTCTAGGATGATGTCCCGTCAAAGACTAGCTAATGATATATCCAACAACTATTAGGATATCTTGCTAATGCTATGATAGCAATCTTTATCTTGTACGGCCTATTTAAAATCGAAAAGCGAAATAGTCCTTGCGATATGTCACTACTAGATAGAGTTTAAGGGTGTCATTTAGTCTTATATACATCATCGCACTAATAATGGCTCCATAAAAATTGGGGGGTGGGGGGATACGACTTTGGCGCCAGCTGACCACAAACAGCACCAAGACGAATGCCAATTGTCCGCGCTAGCACCGTGACCAACTGGTTTCAGATAAGCATGTCCGTGACGGATCACCATCGATGTGGTGTCCAGTGGTGTAGTGGTGACCAGCCATGTGGTGAGATGGTGTCATGGTTGGGGCTAAGTTGAACATCATGGTTTAGTCGTGGGCAGTTGTCTATGTCGGGGGTAAAAATTAAATCCCAGACTGCTAAAAGATCCTGTAAATTGTGTGTTTAGTGTTGACATTTAGTACAGAGGTGGCCGTAAAGGTGAGGTGATAAAAAGATTATCTCCCTTGTGTTCATTAAAGGCAACGTAGCTATAAATATCCAGAAGGACTAAAATTGTTGAGTTATTTCCCTTATGTACTCAAGTTCATAGCAGGGTTTACGCGAACCCGAACCAAACCTTGAAAAAATGTGCGACTTACCTTGATCCCTGCTGGAAAAGCCACCTGGTTCGGTGTGGGGTTCTTCTGGAGATGGACAAAATTAATAGTTAATCAATAATTCAATATCGATTTACTTGATAAACTGGGCTGGGTAGAAAATATAATGACAAAGTTCAATTGAAATCAAATATGTTTATTAGAAAATAGAAAAAAAAAGTTAAAATTTTATTTTTATTCCTAAGTCAGTATAGTTGCATATACCAATATCAAAATATGTGCAGGAAATTATGTTTTTTTTTTTTGTTGATTCTGTTAAATTAAATAATACAGAAACAATAAAATAGATTATTTACAGTATTTATTACAGTTTTAAAAAAAATTGTTTGAAAATACAGTTTTAGTAAGATTTTAAAACTATAATATTAAACAGACAAAATAATGAACCATGAAGTATTGGATTTAGCGAGGAGATTTACTCATGCCTTTAAATACCATGCCATATGCCGGTAGAAACTTCCACACCGTAATAAGTATCCCCAATAAATGCCATTAAAAAAATACGGAGTTAATTACAAAAAATGGAGTTACTTCCTATGCCGTTACGTTATAAGATTTTGAAAATGAACCATACCGTATTAATTTGAATTATAAATGAACAAGTGAAACAATAAACAAGAAGAACCTATTAACTTTATAAAAAAATGGGAAGAAGTAATAAAGATTCAAATTATCCAGTATATGTAGTCCATGTGTGTGTACAACTAGGGCTTTTACAAAGAATAGTTTTGTTTTTTAATAGCCTATATTTTAGAAACTTTTTATGTGCTATACTTTTTAACAACATGAACAAAGCAGTTCATTAATTTTTCAAATATCACACTTGAAAAATTACAAACGAGAATGGCTAGCACAAATTAGAAATTGTTTAACTTTGGTAGCAGGTTTTAAAAAAAAATAAAATAAAAATATTAACAAAGCAATGTCATGCTAATATGGGAACGATAAGATCAAATTTTATGCAGTAATATATTAGTATATTAGATTACTCATTGGTTTTTACACTTATACAAATAATTAATCAAGTTAAAAAATCAGGAGCCTTTTATCTGTCCAACTATAATAAACCTTAACTTAAACCAAATGCATAAGATGTAGAGATGTAGCTAACAAGAACCATTCCTGGGTTAGAGTTGAATTCTGTTTGGTTTGCACGTATATTAGTTAATGCATAACATAAACACACTTTGTTAGTTGAAACATATTAGTGGGGGGATGGGTCGTGTTAAGTAGCAGCAGCCGTCCCCGTGGGGGTCGCCGCTGGAGGTTAGGGGGGGGATACTGTTTTGACTGGCCAATCTGGCGAGCTGTGCGCATGCGCTGCTTACCATTGATGGAAGTTTCGGTGGAGGATGGGTCAGATTTTTCTGACTCGACCACCGGTGTCAAGGTCGTGATTATTGGCCGTTTGTCTGTAACTGGAAAAACAGACACGTGGATGGTCATGTGATTAAACTTGTCTAGATTTAACCCTATCATGATTTGAGTTTAAACGGGGAGCCTCAATTTGGTGTAAAAGATGGCGTAGATTACATGTTCTGTCATAAATGTGTTAAGTAAAAATGGAATAAGTGGTGTGGGAATCGCCAACCAGTAGTAGGAAAAAAAATTTAGCAGCCTAAATGATTATATACACACAAGAGAAAAAAAAAAGAAATCCGGAAAGCCAATATTTATATCATTGTTGAACTTCAAAGAATAGCCATAGTTATGTATTAGGTAAATGCAATTTTGTATTTATGAGAAATGTTGTTGAGCTTAAGTGGAATGCCATTGTTGAGTTTTATACAAATATCATTTTTAAGCCTTTTTATTTTTTGATTATAATGAAATAGAAAAAAAAGGAGCCAATGAACTAATATATACACGGCTTGCTGTAGTCAAATAAGATCTATGACAAGTCTCTACACATAAACTCCATTTGTGGACACATAAGCCCCAATTGTGGACACATAAGCCCCAATTTTGGATCAGAAACTACGCCTTAAAACTGCCCCAGCTGAGACAAAGTTGATTTTCATTATGTGTGAGCAGATTACAGACCCAGACATAAAAAAAAATCACGCGCCTTTGATAGCGCACAATGGCGTATCATCTTCGCGGATTTGTTCCCGGGGAGCCCGGGGGTACATCCCGTGGACCCGGGCGAATCTTCTGGAAACAATGCTATCACTGGGCCGCCCCGCGCACCTTCAACTAATTAGCCGTCTCCCCCCTCGGAGAATCGCGAGACCTGTATACGGAAGTCGGGCGGGGGAGTGTCGCCCCGGGCGGCGGTCCCGAGTTTTTGCAATAGGATCTTTGCTTTTGTTACCTGTGATCTTCCCAGGGCCGGGGGGCGGTAAGCAAAACAGAAAGGGGCCGTCACCCCACTCAGATGGTAAGTGCATTACATTCGACGGGGGTATTTACATTGGAGTGTTACCGGGGACGGCTGGGGTGAGGGTTTCAGGGTAATTGTGTCACTGTATGGAATGGTGAACGCAAATATTTTACATTATCCCCGCCCTCAAAGTTTTACTTTATTTTTTTAAATTCAGTAATAAAAAAAGATATATATTCTCAATTAATTTAATAGTTTATAATTGAAAGTAAACATTAATTTTTTATTTTCAAATATTAGATTTAATACTGAATTTCAACTACGAAACAGTAGAAACTCAAATAGAATCTATTGTATTTAAACTGAGGGCCCAATATGTATGGACCATCTTGAGATAAAACCTATTTAAATTATACAACTAAAAAAACAACAAAAAAATTCAACTCGAAAGATCTGAATTCTATTCTACATGAGATAAATCTTTTGCATGGTGCCGTCATATCCTACTCATTAATGTGTACCTAACGTTAATTAACCTCTGGCTTTATCTATAGCAGGTGTGTATCGTGTGAATCTGCTATGTTATAAACTACAAGCAGAAAATCACACAACAATTGCATCTATTTCAGTGACACCCCCCCCCATCATAATCTATTACCCAGCCATCCTACACCTCTATTAAACAACTCAGGTGATTGTTGGGATACATGTTGACATTAAATGGTGGGATTAATGTTAGGAGTACTTGGCATAATGTCATTATCCTAAGTTTAAGTGTATTTAAAATGTAAAACGTTTGTCGTTGTGTTGGGGACTGAATAGGGTGCCTCCCTGAGCGAAGTGTTTATGTTCATTTTTGTGTGTGGAATTTAATATCATAATATAGAATAATATAGAACGGGTTATAATGAGGCTGGATTTAATGAAGGGGGGTATCAATATCATGTTTAAAACCAATGCACTTTGTGGTTTGTGAATGTAACTTTAAAAAAAAAAATTGGCAGTCAGGAACAATTAGACGTAAAAAAGTTGTATAAAATGCTCCGGCTTCGGTTGCACAAAGAGAAGGCAGATCTAAAAATAAACTTGGCCCCGGGACGTAGTGTGTGTGTGTGTGGGGGGGGGGGGGGAGGAAAAAAAGACAATGGGCATGACACGCCAATCAGACCACCTTCGGCACGAGACACAATTAGCGTTGATGGCTAATGACACAATTTGGGGCTGGCGTTACACGTGGTTACTTTAGCTGTCCGGGCTCACTCTGGTGAATAATTTAACACGTCTCACTGATCGGCCGACATCTTCTTCCCTCACCCCCGCTCCCCACACACACCCCGCGCCCGCACATCCGCAATCCCCGAGCATGAAAAAAATCTGGCACTGTCGGGGATTAAAAAAAAATACTGTAATTCCTTTAAAATTTTCCCATATTTGAGGTATAAAATCCTTGAAATACTCGAGGTTATAATATTAGCGTCGGGGATGCAGAATTAAGACAAGGGTAGCTATTCAATACAAACATCAGGGGAGACAATTCAAATTACTTCTGCCGCACTGCGTGCCTAAATAACAAATATCTTAAAAATTTACAAACACTAAGTAATTCAAAGACTTTTCAGATATATATATATATATATATATATATATATATATATATATATATATATATATATATATATATATATATATATATATCAGATATATTTTTGGTACCATGACTTAAGAAAACGGTAGTCACAAAAAATCACAAGGGATATACAACTTTTTCCCACACTTAATTAATTGAAAAGAACGTTTTGGTATAAATTAAAAAAAAAAAGCTTTCATTGTGTTCTGATGGTACTTGGAGTTCGATAGTTTTAAATGATACGTATTGCCAATGATTACCAGCCCTCACATTCCCCACCCTCCCGAACTAAGCAAAAATCATTTCTTTGTTTTTTCAATTTCAATTAAAGAAAGAAAAATGGGTTTGAACTGTGAGCCGCTGGGAATAATCAAAAAGTGTCACTGAAATTGTCACATGGGAATTATCTTAATGAGCCACGGAGAGACCCTCGGGTCCTCACTGTCCCAAATTCTTTTTTGTCATTTTAATTTTTTTTAACTGATGTACATTTTTTTTTAATAATTTAAAAAAAAAAAATTCTTTTACAAACTTAAATTTTTTTGTTTAATATTTTATAATATTACATTGCTGGAACTACTTAGATAAGTGACCAATCATGGGACAAGAACATAATAATTATGTATATTGTTTCTTTAAAAAAAAAAATTCAAATTTTTATTTTTTAAATGGGGTAGTATGTAGTGTTTTAAAATGTTTCTATATCCTTTCTATGTGTTATTCTATTTTTTTTTAAAAGCATAAGTGATTTAAGCTTTTACATTTATTTCAAAAGAGACAGAAAACTGGTCCAGTAAGAAATGTAACTAATTAACAAGGCTTATCCGTATGAATCAGCTATATGCACATTTTAAAAAAAAATTGTTAAGGGAAAAAAAAATCAGTTGTATGTAAACTTTGTTTTACATAGTTCGTTGACCCAAGCACACCACGACACACACACGGACACGACTTGACACTCAATGTCTAGACGGACACAGCTTGAGACATGATGTCAAGTCGGACACAACTTAAGACACGATGTCAAGACGGACACAGCAAGACACATGATGTCAAGGCGGACACAGCAAGACACATGATGTCAAGGCGGACACAGCAAGACACATGATGTCAAGGCGGACACAGCAAGAGACGGGATGTCAAGAAGACAGTTGTAGAACAACTGCTCACCCACATAAATCACGTGTCCGCTACAGTTTTGACCGGTAGAACAAGACCAGGTGGTTATCACGTGATTATCTAGGATCAGACGGCGTTGATTAATTTCACGAGGGCTGATGCTGCCATGTTGGGCGTTGGTGGGGGGGGGGGGGGGGGGAGGAGGAGGAGGGAGAGTTGGGGGACTTAAGCGGGAGAGGTAGCGTCGTTGACAAAAAGTTATTGAGGAGAGGGGTGGTATAGAATTTATAAAGGTTAAAAATATATTAAAAAAACGAATGGCAAGGGGGGGGGGGGGGTGATGGGCGGGTGGTGAATAGCATATAACATATCCGGAGCTTATCTGACGTAAACAATAATTAGTTTAATTAAAACTAATTTGTTAATCTAAACAACACTGAATCATATCAATTATCTATTTAGTCAAGAAATGTTGAAACGAAAATGTAATTAAAACGGTAGTATAATTTAGCGATGGCCTTTTTTTAATTAGTCTTGAAATCAAAACATTTCAGTGTGGCTATTCCAACAATTAATTTACCATGATATGCTTCCTCCAACGTTTTATTTTTCTAATGCAAAAAAAGTCATCTCCGTGAACTTTTGACCTCAATTTACCAACATCCGCCTCCCACACCCCGTTGCCGCTTCCACCGCTATCATTTAAAACAAAAAAATATCGTAACGCAAAGCTTGACCGTAATCTAAACAGCTTTCAATTAAACAAAATTTCCCTGTTTTCCCAACAAACAGACCACAGTCTTGCCTTGTTTTCGCACGTGCTACCGTCTGAATAAAAAAACCGAATCGTCTAGGGCCGAAACAAAACTGACAATTTAGGCCTAATTGTTTCTTTTTTTTTCTTTTTTTTAGGGGTAGGGGTAGGTTAAGGTATTAAGAGGTGGAGCCAGCTCACTAGATGCAACTGTGTGGGTGAAACTATTCAGCGAGCTAATTAAGATTTTATTCTTTGTTTACTGTTGGAGAATGCATAAAAATAAGAAAGGAAATTGATAAATATTGAAACCGGAAATGACGCGTTTATTTATATAGTACATGAAAGGGTAGATAACACAAATGTAAATTTTCCGAGACGTTTTTAAAATACATGTTTTAATGAGCTGCTTTTTGCGTTGACAAGCTAAATAATTTTGAATTTTTCAAATTAGACCATATTTTAAATGAATTTGTTAAGTGTTAAATCTAACTAGATGCAGTTTAAATTGTTTTTATAATTGGATTTTATTTAGAATAGGAAAACAATATTTTTCTTTTGTTAAGGTTTGCAGAATTAGGTAAGCCGACTATTA